AGGAGGGGGAGGGACGAGAGTGAGGCGTTTGCTGCAAAGCCGAGGGACTATATGGAAACTTCAGAACATCAACCGGACCTACTCACTGACAAGGCTCAAAACTTCCTCGAACTTGAAACATTGAAAGTTGCCGCGACAGAGGTCGAGCGTAAGCTCTCAAGATGAAGAAACATTATTTTACGTGGTCACGTACAAACTTAAAAACAAAATACACCTAGCTTTTCTGTCCCCGAGAGTTTTTCCACTTGTCTCTTTGTAATCCATCAGTCTTCACGCCAACCAAAATACATTCCACACCGCTAGTCCTAGAACCGTTGCTGCTGGTTCATGTATAAATGCCGTTGCAAAGGGTCCTGAGGCATAGCACTTTGAGGAGGGTAGAAGTAATACTGATCCATCCCGTATGGCACTGACGGGTCATTCATCATTCCAGGCTGAGGACCAGGAAGCACAGTTCCTTGCGCTAGCATATCGTAAGACTGACTTGTGTCTGGTCGACAGTTCGATGGAAACGGTTGCATGCTGTCATTCATCATTCCATTCAAACCGAGATTGCAGCTTGTTGGAAGATAACAGTCTTGCAAAGAACCGTCGCCTGTCGCAGTAGAAGGGGCTTCAAAGAGCCTGATTTTGTCTTCTTGACTCAACCCAATATCATCAGGATGGAAAGGCTTGTCCATGTCCTGGAGGGCCTGTGCAAAACTAGTCATGTTGTTGTTGATCATGTAGCTATAGTTGGAGCCATTGGAGCTTGGAGTTGGAGGGATCTGTGGAAATTCTGCTTGAGCTGTAGGAGAAGGTAGGGGAATTTCCATCTGGGCTACCCGCAGATTAGTAAGATTGTCGGGTCTTGGTTGTTGCTGTCTGCTTCCAAGCTGATAAGGATTCTCTTGTCCAACCAAATGAGCACTCTGCACTCTACGAGGTTGTGGAGTGAAGTTCGGAGGTAAAAATGAACCGTTTTCAGCTGCAATCAACGCTTTCCTCTCGCTCTCGGTGAAGATCGAAGCATCCACATTCGCCGCAGAGTTTGGTGGATGGATACCATCCTTCGAGCTCTTCTGCATCAGGTATGATCAGAAGAGGTCACTGCAAAAGTCAAGTACCTCTGCTGCTACATTCCCCATGTTGCGATTCAGATTTGAGGCAGCTTCGACCAAAGGAGCAAATCTCCTTTCGAGGCATTTGCAGAGGAGATTAAGTTGGTGTCTTCCTTTTGGGGTCTTCTGCATGTCAGCGATACTAGTGTGAAAGTCCTCTTGATATGAGGCAAGCAACTCTCGCGCAGATCTATCATCGTCCATGTCGATAGACATTGGTCTCGTCATTGCTGGATTTCGTAGCCTGGCTTGATCAAATTGCTCAGGTGTGACTAGCCTGAAGAAGTGCCGGATTTGTTCAAGTCTTCCCACACAGTCGAATTGTTTTTGAACGCTGTAGCATATCCTGCGTCGCAAAAAAAAAGAAAAAAGTAAAACGTCCATTCCCATTGATTGAAACAAGAAGAGAGTACTCACAACGAACAGACAGAGTCATCGTTCCAATTCATTCTCCATCGAAGGTAACGAGAAATGGTTGCTTCCCTTGTTCTGAGTATTTCATCCATCAAATAGCATAAGAACTCTATTTCCGACATGAGAAGTGGAATATCTCTCCTTGCTATGCGATCCAACATCACCTGAAGGACGAGGAATGAACAGAGCATCGGTCAGTATCATGAGCAATGCAACCGTCACATTTCACCTCTTTGGTCATTCCAAACATCTCCGCAAGTTGGTTTGTGACATGAACGCCTTTACGTTTTTTCTTTATGGGATCCCAGATCATGCGCATACATCCAGTGTCGACACTCTTCTCCCACATGTTGTTTTCCATCTGTTCGACTATGCTGCCACCCGAATACTCATGGCAAGTCATGCTGACTTCCTGTTGAACAGGTGCCTAAAAATTAAGTGAACTGGTGATTACAGACTAACAAGCAGAAATATGTTCTTACTGCGCTCTTTCTTGCCAAAATAATTGCATCGACTGCGGAGAGTCCAACCTTAATGACACGTTCAAGATCCTTTGGCAGTGACGAAAATATTCGAATCATCGATTCAGCCTCTAGCCCTGTTTCCCAATACCTTCATGACGAAAAGAAATTCAGAATCGCAAACTTGCTTTGACTTTCTTTTTTACCAGTGCAATATTGCAAAGGGCCATCCAAGCTCATGCATTCTGACAGTAAGCGAACACTCGCTTGAAAAAGAAATCGCAGCATTCAAACTGTGCAATAGACAGAAGTCAAGTCACACTCTAAAGGTCCACAAGATACCTTGCACTTCTAGGGATTTGAGCAAAACTTTGTGCTGTAGAGTCTTGTTTATGAAGAACCGGAGCTCCTGCAATGGATTCTGCATACCCCGGAATTTCCTTTCTATTTCTCCCATAACGATCATTTGCTTGGGTGTAAGATTCTACGTATTCGTCTCGATCATCATAACGATCGGACTTCTGCCATTCTGAGCACAGTTCACTCTGTCCATTCCTAGCACAGCGTCCACATGGTCTGGCCTCGTCACACTTCAGCTTAGATTTTCTACAATTTTCGCAAGCTCTGGATACAAGTCTCCTTCTCTTCTTGCTTCCACCAGGGCCATCATTGTAATCCTGAGTATCAGAACCATCTAAAGTCCTTGATCCTGAATCACTATCAAAGGGAATATCTGCCGGGATTCCTGAAGAACTATGTGTCTGATCTGGTGATGTCGAGACTTGGATATCATTCACACTTTCCGGAAGCCAGTTGGCAGCGCCATCCAGCCCCATCTCAGGCAGTCCCCAGTCCGAGTAAATATTTGCCATGGGATCTATTTCAAAAAACTGTGCGTTGGTGTATGTTTGTCTGTTTACCTGAAGTGTTGGGGTTGGTGAGGTAAGATCTGATTTCTGCAGTTGCATTTGATTGGGTGACTATTGCGACTGCAATCTCACAGCGATGACAGACTTTCTGCCTACACTCGACGGCCATTCCTTGACCTGAACATGGCCTCGATGAAACGCTTGAGCGAACGATCCCTTCAGTGCCTAAAACTTGAAAGACAATCAGTAAGAGACGTTGGATATGAACAAATGGCTTTCAAAAACTCTCCAACCAAACATAGATGTTGGTGTAACGATCTTGAAGGAAACAAAAGAGCAAATTCTACAAATAAAATCGAACATTTGCTTTCGAGGATTGAAAGAGAAATCTTTGACAAGGAGGGTTTACAATATTGGGCATGCAATATCATCATGTGTAACACAAGATGAGACGAGCTGTCGCCAGCAAGTGAGAATTGCATCGCATTCACGGGTCGAAGGGACTGAAGATACTCTGTCAGAGAGACAGGGTTAAAAAAAAGTGGAGCCTAAGAAGAAAGAGGGAAGACAAACATTGAAAGAAACACAGGAATCCATTCATGAGGAGAGAGAGAGAGAGAGGAATAAGGAGGGAGGGAACGAGTCGACAGCCAAAAAGTGAACGCTCCAGGAGCAAGGAGCCATGAGAATGGTCTAGCGCGCAAGGATGGTGTGGAAGGGGTAGGGGTGGGTAAACTTTCAGTAAAATGGCAGGGGTGGGGGTAAAAGAGTTATACAAATGGGGTACTTCGAAGGGGAACTATGGGGTAGGGAATGAAGTTGTTGAAAATTGTGAGGGTGGGGTACTGTAAGATTTGTACAGGGGTACTTATACATGTATTGTAATTTAAATATAGCAGTGGCAGTACTGAAAAGGTCATGGGTATTCCTAGGCGGTACTAGAGAAGTGGAGGGGGGGGGGAGGTGGTACTAGCGTAGTTGTATCGATGTAGATGGTTTATACCAGTGTTTTCAGTTAAAAATACTTATTACTTTTAAAAACTTAAGGTTGGCCAATCTGATACAATAACCCTACCCTCCTCCAAATTTCAAGAGCAGTAAAAGAACGGGGTACACACCCCTCAGCTACCTCTGTGGAGAGGGAACAGGAAGCGACCCTCTAAAAAAAAAAAGGTCTCGGGGATGGTTTATAAGTCAATTCCAGTACTGTAAGGAAAATCCCGGTATGAGATATCTACAAGGTATAGTACTATAGCATAAAAAACTTTTGCTTATAAAAAAGGCCGAAATAACTCCACTGGCTGTACCCCCACCCTACCTGGTGACCTTATCGTACACCTGGAATCTCTAGATCGCGCGAGGGTCTTTTTTAAAACCTTTTACTCACCACCGTACCCCCTGCCATCCCGGCTTTACGGTTTTACTACTAAAGCCCCCGGCCGGGCCCGTCCGGGCCTCCGAGTTGACTGCACAACTGGAAATTGCCAAGTTGTCCCGAAATAGACTCCCCTTGAGATGGCGAGAGGAGAGTGCGACGAGAGCGACGAGCGGCATGCTTTCGTCGTCTACACCAGCTCTGTAAGGCTCTGCTCGACTTTTGATATCCCATATCTTTTGTTTCCTATTTAAGTTGCCTCCTTGTCTTGCCATGATCTCCCTTGTTCTGCAATAATTGTATTCTGAAGGATTCGACATTCGCTGGCGGAGAGTTCAAGACAGCGGCAAAAGATAGAAAGAAGCTTGTATTTGGTGGCCTGGCTATCCTCCTCTGCATTCTTACTTTTGCGGGAGTCACAAACACATGGAAAGACAAAGAAGAAACTGCTAGCCGCGATGTACTAATGGCGTTTTTTCGAGCTCCTGAAGTCGAGTTAGCTGGAAAGGTATTGCGAGCGCAATCACCTGATTGTATTTTGAATCTTCCTCATGTTATTTATCAGGGATGGAAAGTCTCGCGAAGTCCGAAGCTCTCGAGCTCGAAGATCGGAGGACTTGCAGGGCTTGAAAATCGTTTCACCCGACAGGAATTAGTGGAGTTGGACAGTGTTAAACCTTTGCTGGACGCATCTGGGACAGAGAACCTTGCTGCAGTCACTGCTGCAGTTAGTCATAGAAAAGCTGGACAGAGTATCACATTGAAGGGTAGGTTATTTCCATTCTCGAGATTTTTTCGTGAGTGTTTGATTTCAGGTGTTCCTACTGAACTCACTTTAACGCTGCCCGAAGATATTACCTTGAAGAAGTATTCTAGTTCCCGTGGAATTCTTCCAAGTACAATGTTAGCAGGGAATTCTCGCAATGCCAGATCTCAAGCGCTCCTGGAATGGACCTACAAGAATGATGGTCCGTCTATTTGGGGGAAACCAATTGCCCAGGGGGATTGGAAGGCGTGTGCGTCTGGAAAAGAGCAATCACCAATTAACATTGTATTGTCAAATGTCAAGAGTGGTACAGATATGGCCCCACTTGAATGGAAATGCGATGGCAAGCCATGCCAGGGGGATCAGAATGTTACCGTATCAACGAGCAAGGCCAAGATAGCATACGATGGCCATTTCCTCGAGTTGACAGATTTTGCGGACGACAAGAATCCATCGGTCTTTTCTTTTGAAAGAGTGGTCTAATCATTCTTATGCATTTGCAGATGAAAATCGATGATGTAGAGTACAAATTGACTGCCATTGATTTCCATACGCCATCCGAGCATGCAATTGATGGAGAGTTCTACGATATGGAAGTGCAGTTGAAGCATGTTTCTGATGACAACAAAACAATGATTGTATCGGTTCTTTTCAAGCAGGTACCTTTTCTGTTTCCGTGATGATCAATATCTTGCTGATAGAATTTTATCAGGAAGCGGTGATGAGAGCCCGATGTGGCTCAGCGACATCGCTGATGTGATTCGACCGTGTCATCTCTCAACTGATAGGACGAAATGTCTTCTCTCAGGAACTCCGCACCATTTGACCACAAAGTTTAGCTTCAAGGCAGTCGCAACTTCCATTTCTCTGGAACACTTCTACAGGTGATACAACTGCTGAGATGGCTAGGGTGATTTCCTTTAACCTGACTTCAAGGTATACGGGTTCGCTCACTTCTCCTCCATGCACTGAAGGGGTTATGTGGAACATTCTGAAGTTCCCAATGGATATGTCCCAGGATGATTGGACAGTGATTGCAGCGCTCCAGGGCAAGAACAACAGACCTAGGCAAAGCATTCATGATAGGCTAGTGTACGTACAGTAAAATATTGTTTCTTTCCCGAGCTCAATCTTAGCAATGATCAGATTTTACAAAAATCCTCTTTAGCTTCAATTTTATTCACATTTGTTGAAAGTTGCCGTAGAAGAGATCCGTGTGGCATCAGAGGTATACTTACTCTTTCCTTGAAGATAGCTTGTCCACAATGTTCTTCTTGACCCATGGCCTGGACCGTTGCATAAGTGATCAAAGGCAAAAAAGAAACAATATGAGACTGATCATGTCTCACGTGATCGCAAGTGCAGCACCGAGTCGAACAGGAAGGAAAAACCTTGCAGCTGTCCAGAAGCCTAGAGCAGTGACTGCTACTTTGGTGGCACCGACTGGGAATAGAATCAAAGTAGGAGATATCCATTCACCAGTAGTCTAGAATAACAATAAGAATCAAATCATAACATCGCATCCCTGCATGATGACGTACCTGGTGATACGCATAAACGATTACTGTCGAATCATCTAGACTATCAGAACAGCGAATCCATAACAGAGAAACAGTAACTGACCAGGGATATACAGCGCCCAAAATATTCCACCGACTATGATGATGGATATGATCCCGGCAGGACCGTATCCTTTGACCGTTGCATATAGCTCATCCTACAAGTAGCTCAATGAACATGTTTCACACATTGAACAAAAACCTTTTGCATCGCAAAAAGCTCGTTCCAGGAAATTTTCTTTTCTGAACCTTCTGTTGCGGTGCCTATTGTTTGTTGTTTGCTCTGCTCCAGCTTCTCCTGTCTTGTATCTTCTGCAGTGTTGAGCATGATTGTTGATCTCGGGACCCGCAGCTGCGACGATGAGCGCCTAGAATGAGGCCAACCTTGGAAGGAGAGGAGCTTTGAGGCGTGAACCGTATCATTCCTGGTGTTGATGTGAAGCCTGTCGACACGTGTATCTCCAAGAGGAGCATCACAACCACCGCTCCCATCTGCGCTCCTGGCATCTCCTGTCCCATCAGCTGTCCCATCTCCTCATGCATCTCCTTATATCTTACTCCTGTCACCCAGCATGTGCGGAACCCGCCGGGCCAGGAGTACAGTGACTACCTAGTACCGTAGTACGAGGCTTGACTCGGACGGCGAACGGTCACCGTAACTGTAACGCGTTCCGGCGGGATCGGACCGTACCGAGTACTTCGGTCCCGGGCCCGACCGTACTAGGGAGTGTACCCGGGCCCGGGACCTGTCGTGGCGAACTTATGATGATCGGAGTACTACTGTGGCAACTTTGTAACTTGACCTATTTTACTATGGCAAGTATATTCTTGAAACTCTAGCAGGCCTGAAGAATGTGTATGGGATGAATGGATTGCTGATTCAGTGCTGGGGGAGATATGACTCAGGTCTGAGGATCTCTCTTGACTAGCCCTCAGCTCTCGCCCTGCTGTGAGCTTGCTGGATGTCTTTCGCATCAAGATAGCTGGGCTCCACGTAGGCGTGATAATGTTGACAATGACTTGATGAAGCTGGAAAGATGAAGAGCTTACGGCACAGATAACTCTCATTATCAGCTTTTGTTCCAAACAATCACCACCCACAGCAGTTTCTGTCTTCTAGTCTCACATACTGTAGCAATTCAGTTTTGAGTTTGTATTATATGTTTCAAGTGCAATCGGTCTTGGACTTTAAGCCTCCATGATGCAAGCTGCTGCTACCATTGCTCCCTCTACAACGCTGTCTTACTTCTTTGCTCCCTCCATCCTCCGTCCTAGTTTCAGTCCTGGTAGGAAGAGGCATCAGGCTCACTCATCACTTGTGCCAGTAGTGACCCTCCCCCTTCCTCCCTGGCTCCCTCCCCGCCCTTCTTTCCCTCCCTCCTCCTCCCTCCCCTCCCCTCCCCTTCCGTCCTCCCTCCCTCCCTTGCTCCCTCCCTCCCTCTCCCCCCCACCTTCCCCTCCCCTCCCCTCCCTCCCTCCCTCGCTTGCTCGCTCGCTCGCTCCCCTCCCTCCCTCTTACGGGAGTCGCTCGCTCCACCCCCGCCTGCCTTGCATTCCTCCCCGCCATCTTGAGCGCAATTGTAAAGCGATTCAGCCGGGAGCGGCCCGACTCGCGGAGGGTTGCAATGAAGGCCTTCCGACCGCAGTGAGGGAGGGGATGGCGAGCGAGGGCGATCGCGGCGCTGCGGGAGGAAGGGAGGGAGAGCTCAATGCTCTCATGCGCGCGAGAGAAGCTGCAGGTCCAGGCAGCGAGGCAGGAAGGATCTTTCGAGTCTCCTCAGCACCACAGAACAACTCCACACCATGGCAATCGGCACCAAACTTCAGCAACGAGTGTCCCGACGATCGCGATGGCAGACAGAGAAGAAACTCTCTCAACATCAAGAAGTTTCGAAGAGCAGAGCTAGAGGTGCTCTCGTTTGCTCCCTGCTCCGCGTGTCACCATCTGTTTGCAGGTTGCAGAGAGGATAGGGAAGGGCGCATATGGTGGAGTTTGGCAGGCAACAGTGTTGGACACTAAAGAAGAAGTTGTTGTGAAAGTCGTCTGGCCTGATGCAGATCTTGACCCCGAGGACGCAAAGACAGAGAGCCCGGTAACCTTCAATCATGCGAGTTTGCAACTGTTCTGGTTGACGACTGCCATAGGGAAAGTTGAGAAGAGAAGCTTTCAAGGTGAGATAGGCTGCTTAGATGTGCTGCTCTGAAGGATGATCAGCGAGAGATCGCAATGATGAAACTTGTTGGAAGTCATCCAAACATTGTTTCCATGCTTGGCGCCACTGCAGATTCAACTGTGATTGTGTTTGAAGAAGCCCTGACAGATCTGCACGTCATCATCAAGAAGCAACAGTAAGCCTTGTGGACACTGACAGCAAACAATTGACACGTTCCTCTTTTGCAGGCGCAATTTGAGTTTCCAGATGATACTCAAGTGCACAACTGACATTCTCAAAGGAGTCGAGTATCTCCATTCGATAAGGGTGGTTCATCGCGATTTGAAACCTGCAAACATCCTTGTTTTCAAAGACTTAACTGTTAAGATTGGAGACTTTGGCCTGGCACGAGAGTTTGTAAACGACAAGATGGTAGTGAGAGATGAAGTATCGACGCTGTGGTATCGGGCACCAGAGCTGATCATGGGAGCCGAGTCTTACTCATCCAAGATTGATGAATGGTCAGTTGGGGTCATCGCTCTGGAGATGCTCAACGGTCAATGTCCTCTGATGGGCAAGGTAGACTACGGATGCAAATGTTCGGAACCATCGCACTTCAACTACAACAGCGACCAACTCAAGAGGATCTTTCATCTGCTCGGCAGTCCAAGGAATCCGAAATACCTGCTGGGTTTGAACTGCTTGAGGCACTTCAAAGATTGGCCCAAGCAGACGAGGACACTGGAGGAAGTCATCACAAGCCTCTGCCTCAAGAGAAGATTTCAGTCCAGCAAGGGGATTGAGGTCCAAGAGCAGCAGCTTGAGCATGTACGACAGCAGCTGAGGGGAGTCGTTGCACTGAAATCTGCTGTAGGTCAAACGAATCTTTGTCGAAACTCTCAGCGTGCTCCTCACGCTAGACCCTCACGACCGAATGCCGGCACATCAAGAACGTTCTTGCTTGGCAGCTTTTCCCTGCCTGACTCCTTGCGCAGGTTTTGCAGCTATCATGGTTCAGTTCTGTACATGTTACTCAGAGAGCAGACAACCATCTCACGTTGCCAAGTGATGAGGCTTCTGACAGCTCGCAATCAGCTCTGACTACCCTGCAAGACGATGCGTGCAGAGAGAACCTGTCACCGTCGATGGTCTGCTGAGAGAGATGAAACGCGGTACCCTGACCTTGAAGTCTCAGGTCAGCCAAGACCTCAACCAAGTCGCAGGGGCGAGACGAAGAGAGACAGAGAGCTGGTGATTGCCTCTTCAGGTCTCTCTCGGTTGACCTGTTTCTCCAGCAACGCCTCCCTGCTGCACACCGAGTTTGACAAGATGGCTCTACACAGGTATGATGAGAGGACATGGAGGGTTGAAGAAACAATTGAGTGGTTGAGGGTCAGGCCGAGCGATCCGACGGATTCAGCAGATACAATTAAGCAGACCGCAGACACGCATTCTTCGAACATGCACAAGGTTGAACATCAGTACCAACCGTCACGTTCGTTGCGACTATCCTCCAACACTACTTTTTGAAGAAAGAATTTCCCTTGTTTCATTAGAATGCTTCTACTTCAAGTAAATCAATGAGATTTATCAACTAAAAGGACTGTGACATGCGAGGACATCAAGTCGAAGTGAATCACAACTCCCTCTCACTAGACAGACACCAGAAGTCGTTTCATCATTCTTGATTGGGTGTCAGTTGCCATTTTCTGTTCGTCGACAATCGCAGAATAAGTCAGTATGTGTGGTGATTTCGATGAATTCATACCTCATTGACAAGCTGCTTGACAAGGGAAATGAATTTCTTCTGTAAACACAATCGTGAGAAACCTTGTATTGAAAACCTTGCAAGGACACATTCTTGCTTGCCAGACCCGCTCGAATCAACAAGAGAAAGAATACTTCCTGTAAAGATAGGTCACCTTCTCCAGCAAATAGCCAGTGAGATTTCACCCGTTGAGCATTGCTGCCACCTGTACGAAGAGAATGAGGTTGGCAGTGGACAAAGAGAAGGAAGTAGAAAGACCGATCATGTAGAGTTGGTAGCGAACTCTGAGAAGTTCATTCACGCAATCGTCAAACCGACAACTCCTGCCAAGAATTCAGATCAGACCAGATCGGCATGATCCCGAGCAAACCTGTATGCCAACACTGCACGAAGAAGGGGAATGCACACATTACGAAGATTGACAAGCGATCTGCAACAGAAGTCAGCAGCACAATCACTGAACATCTACTCCTTACGCTCGAGAATCATCCTTCCTATCAAGGCAAAATTTCTCCCAAGCAGCAAGTGTCTCCCTTTGAATGACGAGATTGCCACTGGTGCAACTCGTCATTACTGCCGCATGAACTGAACAGCGTCACCTCGCTCCGACAGCCAGCGCGATGTGAGCATCGTTGAAGGCAAGTCTGTGATCCCCGGCATGCTTCATCCACTCCAAGCAGTCGTCACATGCTCCCCTCAGACCTCCGGCATAGCAGCGGCTTACCAGCGGCCAAACTGCTTCCCAACGATTGCCCACTTGAAACCCTTCGAATTCTAATCGCTGTGTCAAACGTCAGTGAAGAGCTGGCAGCAATACACGATTACTTGTAGCAGTTGAGAGCAGTCTACGAGCGCAAAAACCCCAAGAGATTCTATATTCGATGCTTGAAACACATTATGACTGAACAAGTCACGAATGAACTCAGTACCTATTTGCATATCGTACACGCTCAAGGCTTGATCATATTGGCCTGGAACCAAATAGCTAGAATCAGCTGTTAGAGGAAAGGAACAAAAACGATACCAAGATCAACATAGCATAGCGCTAGATGCCAACTGATGTGACACCTGTTGGAAATTCATTCTTCATTGAGCGCGAGAGTAACATGCTCAATTCCTCAAGTTGGAATCTTGCCAATGCTCTTTGCTCTCTTCAAGGAGTTTGATCATCTCCTCCGCCTTCCCCTACAGCTCAAGATAAGAAGGCACATCTGCATGTCAAACCAGTTTCATCCACCTGCATCTCCAACGTATGCGCCATCGCATGAATCGCCCACACGTCTTTCGAGTTTTTCCTGCAGGCTGCGGATCAGCAACAGCTCAGCATTGTCTTCACGTGAAGTTACTGCAAGGCTCTTTGAGCGTACTGCTGCGCCTGCGATCGACGTCACTTCACCCTTGCAAGGCCTCGCAAGTCAGTTCGACCTTGTCGTAGTCGAACGCCTCTTCTAGCACAAAAGCATACATCCCCAGCATGTACCCGTAAAACCGCGTCTCGTCATCAAGGTCAGGCAGGCATCGAGCCACTCCATCCCTCATGCGGAAGTTCTGCCCAGTGAAGTAACAAAGATCATTCTGAAGCTTCAAGCCCATCGCATCCGACGGGTACTGTAACAGATAATCTTCAACAAGAAGCAGTGATTCTTCAAACTTCCCCTCACTCAATTCTTTCAGGCAGGTGAAGAGGAGGATTTCTCGTTCACTATGAGCTCGTTCACTTAGCGCCTTCTCTGCCTTGCCTATGGTTTCAATGATCACAGGATCGTCCTCCCCCGCTGAAGACCCCAGGTACTTGAGCCACAGCATGATGCAGTAGGGAACCACACAGCATGGATCAGCCTCTGAAGACAACACTGCAGTCTGGTAAGGATCTCCGAACCATCCGATCACTTGCTCTATCGACAAGTCGATCAGTCTCGCTGCATCGTCGCTGCAGGATGATAAGGTCAACCCGCACGAATTCCAGCCTTGCACATCCCTCCTTCCCTTTAGCTGAGCGCGGCCGTTGCCGGAATGCAGCGGAAGGACGTCGGTCGAGTGTTCGATGAGCCTCCGAGGCTTCTTCGCTGCCGTCTCCTCCTCTCTCCCGCCCATCTCCTCCGCCTCCTCCCGCTCTTTCGTGGGCATGGCCAAGGGTTCAACTACGACCTTCAGTGGTCAGCCTGTGAGTAAGCCTAACTAAACCAACAGAACAAGCCTAGCTAAACCAACAGAACAAGCCTAGCTAAACCAACAGACTCGTGACAAGCCTAGCTAAACCAACAGAACAACTAACAAAACACTGAGCCTAGCTAAACCAACAGAACAAGCCTGACTAAACCAGACTAAACCACAAACAAGCCTAGCTAAACCAACAAAACAAGCCTAGCTAAACCAACAGAACAAGCCTAGCTAAACCAACAGAACAAGCCTAGCTAAACCAACAGAACAAGCCTAGCTAAACCAACAGAACAAGCCTAGCTAAACTGATGGAACGTATGCCAGCCGTGCCAGTCAGATAGCGCCGAGTTAACAAAAACTCTCCTGTAAACCAAGACGACTTACGTGTTTGCGAGGCGGCCAATGTAGCGTGTGTGGACGAAGAGGCGTCTTGCTAAGGTCCTCTCATGTCTGGATGCTTGGGTTTCACATCCTAGCATACAGTCTATCTCTCATGTGCTCCTCAATTCTGGATTTGTGTGCATTAAACTCGGTCTTGAGCAAAAACTGTCTTGTTACAACTAAGGTCGATGTGAGATCTGCGTGACTTTGGACTAGTACAAGTCTAACAAACTTGTATTCCGTCGGTTATGAGCCTCGATTACATGCTCAATCATGTTGATCTTATATTTGGTTAGTTGAATTGTTTACTGGAGTTTTTTCTTTCTTGGTATTGTTTTCCCGTTGCTGTTGAAAATTCATGCAAATTCTATCAAGCTGTACACATTCGGATGACTCCTCTCTTCAATCAGGCTCTCTTTCTAGCCGCAAGTTGTTTAGGCCTATCTCAGCCTCAATTTGTTTGATTGATCTTCGAATAGGAAAAACAAGCCTTTCCCCAGCCAGATTGGTCGGTCGAATATCTGCTTAACCGTGTGGAAACGCACTTGAAGCTGATTCGATTTTAATCTTCTTGATCTTTGAGTAGGATCAAATGGAACTACCAGGAGATCTGGCGGAAGTTTTCATGTCATGGAGCTAGGCTGTGGCATGCATAACTGGAGCTACTTCTGGATCGGCGAACAAGGTACAACTGCACAACAATCTTCGAATGCCTTGAAACGGATGTTCCATCTCGCGGCAGCAATCTCTGGTCACAAGTTCTTTACGGTTCAAAATTTATCTTTTGGTCTTCAAATGCCGGCGGGCACGCTCTCTCTCTCTCTCTCTCTGTTATCTGAACTCCGAAGTTCTCTCCTCAGACTCTCTTATCTTATCCTCCTTCTCTCGTCATTGCATCAGCTCGCCAGGCATCTCCCTTATCTCTGCACTAGCCCTGCATGAAATTCTTCTTCAGAATGGACAATCCTTGAATGGTTATTGCCCACTCAGCATGACTGTGAACTTGACGTTGTATCATCGTATCTTGACTTGGAACTCTGCTGACATTCTCTTCAAGCTTGTTTGTGTGACTTTCTGACGTCCGATGTAACGTACTATTTCAGAAACTCGGGGGGAGGATGGAACGTATGCCAGCCGTGCCAGTCAGATAGCGCCGAGTTAACAAAAACTCTCCTGTAAACCAAGACGACTTACGTGTTTGCGAGGCGGCCAATGTAGCGTGTGTGGACGAAGAGGGGGCTTTCCTAGCCGTCTTGCTAAGGTCCTCTCATGTCTGGATGCTTGGGTTTCACATCCTAGCATACAGTCTATCTCTCATGTGCTCCTCAATTCTGGATTTGTGTGCATTAAACTCGGTCTTGAGCAAAAACTGTCTTGTTACAACTAAGGTCGATGTGAGATCTGCGTGACTTTGGACTAGTACAAGTCTAACAAACTTGTATTCCGTCTTAAACCAACAGAACAAGCCTAGCTAAACCAACTAGCTAAACCAACAAAACAAGCCTAGCTAAAACAACAGAACAAGCCTAGCTAAACCAACAAAACAAGCCTAGCTAAACCAACAAAGCCTAGCTAAACCAACAGAACAAGCCTAGCTAAACCAACAAAACAAGCCTAGCTAAACCCGGTCAACAAAACAAGCCTAGTTAAACCGTTGAAACCGTAAAACTATCCTGTAAACCAAGACAGGACCTTCCTAGCCGTCTTGCTGAGACGGTGCTCCAGGCTGTGGCATGACGGTCTGGATGCTTGGGTTTTACATCCTAGCATGCAGCCTCTATCTCTCAGTGTGCTCCTCAACTTCTGCTTTCAAAACAAGCCTAACTAAACCAACAAAACAAGTCTAACCGTCTAAACCAACAAAACAAGCCGCTAACTAAACTAACAAAACAAGCCTAACTAAACCAACAGAACAAGCCTAACTAAACCAACAGAACAAGCCTAACTAAACCAACAGAACAAGCATTCAACGAGGCGACCAAACGGCCGGGCCTCCCGGGAGTCCGTCAGTCTGTCTCAGTCCGGGGCCGGCCTGGGGGCCGGCGAGGCACTGCGGTACTAGCTTTCTGTCACGGCCTCGCCTCTGTTTCCACTTCAAGACAGTTGTCGATATGTTGACAAGCACGAAGCTTAGGGGGGTAGGGTCATCAAGCACCGGTAGTTTCAGCCTCATTGCATAGGGTCTTTTATAACTTTGAACGGCTGTGGGTGGGTCAACGATACAACGACTTATCCTACAACCGAGCTGCGCTGCTAGAAAATGTTGAAGAATCAGCTCAAGACGCCACGAGGAGAAGACAAGCGAGGCAGAGAGACAAGCAAGGAAGAGAGACAGTGACACCAAGCTAAGAGTCGGTCACCACGAGTCAAGGAAGAGAGGCAGTGACACCCAGCTAAGAGTCGGTCACCACGAGTCAAGGAAGAGAGGCAGTGACACCCAGCTAAGAGTCGGTCACCACGAGTCAAGGAAGAGAGACAGTGACACCAAGCTAAGAGTCGGTCACCACGAGTCAAGGAAGAGAGGCAGTGACACCCAGCTAAGAGTCGGTCACCACGAGTCACGACGGCGTCACTGGGAGTTTGTACGAGCGAGGTCATGTCACCCTTTCATTGATTGCAGGTTACCTGATATCACCTTGGATTCCCTTACGATGCGCAAGCTTGCTTTAACCTGCATCGTTGTCATTCTCGCGGCAAGGTTTTATTCTTCGATAGGCTGTCCAGTCTTCAGTCAAAGCGGGGATTGGACTTACGGCCTCCTGGCGTCAAACTACAACATTTCGGCATCTGATACAGCCACTGGAATTGAATCTGGATATCTTGTGATCTTGGGAGAAAGCTTCAAAAGCCCGGAGATCGTAGATCAAGTGTTATCTTCAGGATCTCTTGAAGTAGATGTTTATTGCGCCCAGGTTGCTGGAGCAGGATGTGACGGTGATGAGACGTCAGGTGTTGGGGTATGGGGCAACGAATCTCAATGTCTGGGCTGCGTGGGTGAGGTACAAGTCGAAGTGACAGGAATAGGTGAGTGGTACATCGGGTCGTCCAACTGCAGTGGGTGCAGCTGCAACGGATCTGGTGTTCCGTTTGTTGACGGGGTTGAAGCCCAGGGGTTGTGGAGCCCTCAGGGTTCTTGCAACGACCAGATAGCACGAGGAAACTGCTCGTGTACAGCATGGGACGGTGTCGCAATCACTCCCTCAGGGAGGTTCTATCCTGTCGGCAACTGCAGCGGAGGTGACCGAAGCTGCTCTTGCAATGAAACAGGCTATGCCATCACTCCGCAGACCATCTATGAAGTCCAAGGTGATTCACCAGATTGTAACTGTTCTAGCGACGGAGTGCCTATCACTCCCCCAACGGTCTACAATGCTTCTGGAAACCACTCGGGCTGCAACTGTTCCGTGGATGGAATCCCATACACACCGCCGTCAGAGAACAATGAGACATACTACTGTACTTGCATCGCAATCAACTACTCTTGCAGTTGTATCCCGAATCCTTGCAGCTGCGGTTGCCAACAGTATTCCTGTGGTTGTGATTGCGTCAAGACTTGTGACTGTCAGTGTGAAAGAAGGCAATGCGGATATGAAGTGTCCGCGGATGGAAAAAAGTTCATCGCGACCGGAGGAAATACTTGTTCTGTACGTGCGAAATGTGTTTCTAGCTCAAGCGGCAATCAGTTTCCAGGTGATTGTAGCTTTTTCTAAAAGTCATATTGGGGCACTAACATTGATCTTTGTTGTTAAAGGTTTCTACGACGGAAAGATCTATTCCACTTATGCCAACGGAATGCAGGCTTACTTGTTGCAAGATGGTTCGCTCCTGAACAGCACGTACTTGACAGGGGCTTCCCCAAGCTCCCTCGTCAATGGGAAGTTTTCCTTTGCAAATGTTGCTGTAACGAAAGCTGTATCATCAGCTTACCCATTCAATCTTACTTTTAAGACCGACAATGATGTGGTTCAGAAAACAACAGCGTCATCTTTCTTGGTGAGGCCTACACTTATCAAGGTATATCAGACAGGGACCAGCTCATCACAACACTCGAGTGCTGATTATCTTGTGCAAGATGCAAACACTTACTTGGGAAACTACACTGTTGAGCTCTGGGGCTCAAATCGAATCGAGTACATTCACTCGAATGAAAATGTCGCGGTCAGTGCCTACTTGTGGACAGGATTAAAGGCTGGAAACATGGACTCATCGACGTCTTCGGACCTCTCCTACAACCTTCAGAGCTTCTTGAGCGTCCAAGGCTCGACTGATCACACATCAGCAGTGACGATCAGCTCATTTCATGGCGTTTCAGCGAATTTCAAGTTATACATGAGCGGTCTTGCAGGGCTATACTTCCAGCTGGGATATGAGTTGTCGTTTCTCAACTATTCCTTTGCTGTGCGGACAACAGGAACCTTTCAATTGAGCCCGGCCAAGATGGTTTTGAGTTACAGCGAGCAGTATGTCTTGTATGAATACAGTGAGTCAGATGTGAGAAATGTTCCATCCGTCGTGCATCTTGATGGAGCTAACAACGACACTGCGAACGTGGCTGGTCTTCCCGGCATCATCAACGTCAACCTCACTGATTCATCAGGTGCCACTCTTACAGGCTCCAATTGTGACTCCTGCATGCTTGTTCGCCTGTTCAAGTGCCAGGACAGTTCACCTTCAGCTCAGTCTGCCCCGTACGACTACACTGTTCCTCCCTGTGCCTCTGTGGCCCAGGCCTACTGTGCGACTTATAAGTTAGGAAGTTGTTCTAGTAGTACAAGCTATTTGGGCACTTTGCAAGGTACGACGCTGGTGAGCGTTTCGGAAGGGAAAGCGACGTTCTCAGGCCTCATGGTGAAGTATGTGTTCGGAGCCGGCTATCGTCTGCGATTCGTCTTTGACTCCTCAAACTCTCTGTCGTACAGCGTTACTAGTCAGCATAGCACTGGAGTGCAAGACATGCCTGATCCTAAGTGGCAAGCAGCAGGAGTCAACAACAGCTTTTTCGTGCTGCCGACATTGTCTGTGACTCAAAGTCCTGGAGGGGAGGGACTCGATGTCGGGCTGCTCGGAGGTGACTTCACGCTAGGGACTCCTGACGGTGTTCCCTATGGCTTTGCGTTCAAGAATCAGCCCATCATCAAGGTCCTTGGAGACGGCTACACCTTTGACAGGAACTGGGGCAGGCATGGGCATGCCCCCTTGACAGCGATCATCAAGTCAGATGCTTGCGGAGGAGGAGGGTGCGCCGGTCAGGGCCTTGTGCTCACCGGCTCCTCTTCTCCTGTCTCTCAAACTTACTTCTCTGCCGTTGCCCAGAGCCTGGCAGCCGGCAATGGCCCTTATTACGCCACGTTTGCTGACGAAACAGACCGCAACTACGGGGTTGAGTTGAAGTGGAGCGACAGCTTGCAATTTGTTGGATTTCAATATCTGGACCTTCGGATTGACGGGGCTCTCAACGAGACAGTGCAGGTCGACTTGAAACTTTCTTTCCTCTGCGGCATCAGCACCTCCGACCCGACGGGGTACAACAAGCTCTTTGCTGTGGCGGACTCGAGCTTCTTTGATCTGTTCGGCCCTCCTGACTCTCCGTCCAACTTCAAAGTCTCCAACTACGGATCTCTCGGATTCCGCGTGGAGTTTGATCCTCCCTCCATCAGCGGCGCGAAGCCTCTCTCCGGTTTCATCCTCGAGGTTGACCGTTGCTCGGACTCTTCTTGTCTTCCTAAGACACAGCACGTGCATCCCAACTTTGCCACTCCCAAGCAGCTCGGATCCGACTATCAGCTTGGGGGAGGTCGCGGGGAAGAGGTTCTTGTCAAGTACAACCAGAGCTCTTCTACGTCATTCGCTCTCACGCTCAATCTGATTCCCAGCAGGCAAATGCTCGCTGGCGACATGCTTGTGCTGCCGCTGCCCAAGTTTACAGCAGATTTAAGGCTGAAATCATCGTACACATGCGCGTTAGCTGAACAGAGTCCTTTCTCGTTGGAGGTTCTTCCGCAAGAGTCTTTGCTTCAGCTCACAGTGAAGGAGGGTAGAGAACTGATCATGTACGCCCCGCTCGATGTTGTCGTTCCTGACAACTGCAACATCTCGCTCGAAATTCCTTACGGTCAACAGTCCTCAAAGATTTGTTCCGGGATGAACTACTCTCGTTCTTTCTGCTTGTCCATCTTCTCTCTCGGAGGCCTCCGGTGCTGTGATTGGGACGCCACACAGCAAACTTGCCAGGCCAATGCACTTGTAGACATCTGCCTGCCCTCTGCAGTTCCTGACTCCATCTTGCAAGATGGTTTTGTATCCACCAACGCAAGTCAGATAGGCACTTTCTTGTATCCAAATGTTTTGCAAGGAGTCTTCGTGGGCAACTCATTGCAAACTGATACCTGCTTCTCAAACAGCACCACCTATCAGTCTTGTTTGTCAGAAGATACCTTCATCCTGCCCAAGATAGAAGACGCAAGCCCGTCGGATCTGTTCTGGAGCGGTCCCCTCCGAGTTGGATCGACAACGAGCTCAGCCCAACTCAACGCTGGCTGTGAATCGCTGACGTCATCGTCTAACCCGTGCATCCTGACCGTCGGTACTGATCGCTCCTTCCTCCTTGTCGCGACCAACGCTTCCTCCAACTCGTCGTCAACCTTGGGGATGAGGATGAAGGGCATCAGACGCCAGGCGATCAACGCTGGTGACGTCCTCTTCCTTCAGTTCCCCGCTCTCTCGACCAGCTCCCAGCTTTCCATTTCCACTTCTAGAGTTTCTGTGGACACGGAAAGTTTCGAATGGCCTTCTACTTTCAACTCGTCCGATCTGTCTCTCACTATCGTCGCTCAGAATGCAATTCCAGCGGAGAAAACTTTGATTTTTGAGGTTTCCGTGCAATGACTCAACAGAGATACCTGACGGCATACGAGCAGGTCACAAACGTCGTGCTGTTGCAGCCTTACTCATCGTTGACTGTCAAATGTGAAGTATTCAGCAGGTCTGTTCCTTACTGTCCCTCTCTCTCTCTCTCTCTCTCTCTCTCTCGCTCGCTCCCCCTCCCTCCCTCCCTCCCTCCCTCCTGTCATTCCATTCTTCTTCCCAACCATAGGACATCATGTCCTCTTTTGACACTCTCCATTTTCCCTCTACCCGACAAGCTTCTGTTGCCTCCACTCGTTGCGCTTCTGTCTCTGATGTCTCGAGTGCAGGAAGAAAACCACCGTCCTCTTCCATCAGGGCAGCAGATACTCAAACTTCACCTCGCAGACTGGCAGTCCGTTGCAAGGGTACCAAGAGTTTCCGGGGGGCGTCAACTTCATCTTGGAGGGGAAGATCTACAAGTTTCGGATCTTCTCGTACAACGCGAGGTTCCGAAGCGCCTCGATCTCATCATACCTCAACAACCGCGCGGTCCTCGCTCCTGAAGCCCCGGCCTACTTTTCTCAGGTTCATCTCCCCGAGCTTATGCCCTTAGTGACCTTCTGTCAGATCGCGCAGGGCTCCGTGAACGCGAGCGTGACTTACTATCCCGAGCGGGTGTCAGCTGCCGACTGGTGCGAGTTGGGCCTGCACTTTCAGCTGGACTCCTATCTTGGGGAGGAGGAGACGGTGTACTTCGAGCTGAATGGCTTCCAAGGGAGCGAGTGCGAAAATCAAGAAGGTCACCAGTTTGTCTAACTCTTTTACTAGGTTGCTCCAGTTCTGTCCAAGCTGCGAGGCAAGTATTAGAAACGAGAGCGTCAAACCTCTTGTGGAACAGAACGTCACCTTCGTTGCTACTTCGGCTCCTTTCCATCCCATCTTCGATCATGGCTCATGGTCACAAAACTTATCCACTCTTTCGCTCTTCGTGGCGCAAGGGAAATCAGCAGCTCCTGGAGTTCTCTACTCTGTCTACCTTCCCTCAGGCTCACTGCTCTGCCCTCAACCCGTGAGTTAGGAAGCCACTCGTTCTGTGGCTGACGTGGCAGCAGGAGGCAAGGGCTGTGAGCATGAAAGGTTGGCTGCTTCAGTTCAGCCTCAATTGGCTTTCTCCTTCTCCTCTCCTTCACCGGCCTCGCCTGGGCTTCATCGTGCAGGTTCGCCCCCCCCCCCCTAGTGCTCAGCGTCTCCTCTGACCTCACGTCCCTCAGGTCTCCACGGATCCCGCGTGGAAGTCGTTCGTGCAAACCACCAGCGTGTCGGACAACTTTGACCTTCCCTTGCTGCAAACAAGCTCACCGATCGCCTACCTGACCCATGACATCGGCAAGGAAGGCAACGAGATCGGCCTGTGTGGCGAGTGGCGATGGCTGGAGAAGAAATTCATCAAGGTGGACGAGGAGGTGATGCTGGTGTATCAGGTGCTGGTGATGGAGGAGGGATGCGATCAGAGCATGTTCCGCTCTTCCTTGCTTGTAGATCGAGGGTTTCGATCGCTCAAGAGCGAGCATGTTAGCGTCCTTGGGGGCGCCAACTGCTCTTGCCTTGCCAATGGAACCTCCGCAGGGTCACCTGATCCCGGCAGAGAGTGTGTCTGCACGAGTATAGCGCTGGCGTATCCGAGCGCTACGGACTGGTCAGTGGGAGGAGGGATCGACAACAAGGTAGCCAGCAGCTGCCCTCTCGGCGCCTCTTTCTGGGAGTTGGGGTGCAACCCTCTCGGGGTTGTTTACACCAGCGGCCTCCGCACGGCTCAGAGCGCTGTGGTGTCAACGCAGACACGAGCAGGGGTGGGATACGTCTCCTGCGACACCCTGGAAGGATCCTGTCAGGCAAACTGCATGTGCTCGTCCTCCAACAAGCTCGCAGGCTTTCAGTTCGGTAGTGTCAGCCCTCTGCCTCACTCGCTCCTCCTCGCCTCCCCTGGCGATCCTCTCCACTTCCCGTCAAGGCTCCAGACACGCCTTCTTACCGCCCTCTCCTCCACGTCTCAGACCCTCAAAGTCTCCGACACGTCGGGACTGAGTGTCAACCTTCTCCTTCGCGTTGACAGTGAGCTCTTGTGGGTGCTCGCCGTGCTCGATGCCAGTACAGCTTTCGTTGAGAGAGGGTCCTACGGCACCTCAGCTCAGCTTCACCAGCAGGGGTCAGCCGTTAGCGTCGTCACCTGGCCAGTCAGCTCGTTCGTCTCCTCTCGCCGGCAGTTTTTCTTCCGAGTCGCCGCCTTCAACACAGCGGGCGTGAGCTCCTTCCTCTACTACCAGGTCAAAGCTCTCGCTGTCACTCCCCGTACCGTTCCGACCATCGGAGGGACGGTGATGGAGCTGGCGGCGCTAGGGATGGGCATAGGAGGAGAGGGTCACGACTTTCTGCTGGGGCAGCTGACGTCATCCGGCTACATCGACTTCGCTCGCTCTCGAGCCTGCAATGTTCTTCGCTCCCTCGACATCGGCGGCACGAGGCTCGTTTGCGAGGCCCCAGCTGGAGTGGGAGCTGTTCAGAAGTTTGTGCTTTACTTCAGGTGAGTCTCTCGCGCGTCTCCTGCTTGCGCTGAGCAGGTGCTTGCAGGCAGGGATGCCTGGAGTATTTCAACGTGGGGGCTGCGGTGATCAAATACTCCAAGCCCAACATTCTCCTCGTTGTTCCCAACCTCGTCCCTGGCTCTCTGCCTGCCAAGGTGCGGATTTACGGGGAAAACTTCGGACAGAACAGCTCGGAAATCAATATCGTACTGATCAATACCGACAACGATATCATCGCGTGCAATTCCTTTACCTGGCAAGGAAACTCAGGTGAGGGGAAGCGAGAAAGGGATGAAGAGATGAGAGGAGAATAATAGTGTCCTCGTCAACCCTTGTTTGCTTCTCGTCTCACGCGTCAAAAAACTGCAGGGACCTGCATCTTCATCCCTTCTTCAGGCCAAACTTTGTCCGGATACATCCAGGTGCTCTCACTCTCACTTACCCCTTCCTTCCTCGTGAACTGCCAGCAGGCGAGCGTCGGGTCCTCATGGAGTGGAGGTGCTCAAGTCTCGACATTGAAAACTCTGCAGTCCAAGTTTACTCAGGTGACGTCGGAACGCTCTAATTGCTACTCCTCTCCAACCTCCTCGATGCTCGCTGACCTCTTCCTTGCTGCAGATTCCTCCTCCTGTGACAGTAGCCATCACTCTCAACAAAGACATCGCAGCCATCCCCGATGGCAGGCAATCATCCAACCTTCCACTCCGCTCCTCTTTCTGCCTCGATGCTTTGATATTTCACCCTCTTCTTTCATCCTGTTTGGTCGATTTTCACCTGGACTAGAACGTCTTCTCTTTCATCGCCTTCTCTCCATTCTCTGTTCCCCTTTAACAAGTTCGTCCCAGTGTGGAGCGGGACAATTTCAAGCGTCAGTTCGCCCAGGACGTGGCCAACGCCGTCAGCATCTCTGCCTCCCGAATCAACATCACGAGGCGAGAGCGTCGGCAGCTGAGTGGGAGCGACTGACTTGCTGTGCCAGCATCGCAGCGGGAAGCATCATCGTCACTTTTGTTATCCTCCCTGACCCTTTCAGCCCGACTGCTCCGACCCCAGGCACCAGCCACGAGCTTTCCCACCTCATCTTGACATCTTTGCAGAGCAACTGGGAGCCAACCTCGTCAAGCAAGCCTCCGATCCTAACTCCAAGCTCCTCTCTGGCTCAGTGACCAGCAGCACCTCCTCTGCTTCAGGAGGCGCCAGCCCCACACAGACCTCGACGTTCCTCACCGAATGCTCCCCCAAGGTCTTGGTTTAATGATCATCTCTCCTCCTCCTCTTGACTTAGTCATCATTCCTGCTGCTGCTGCTCTGATCAAACTCTGCAGACCTACTCGTGGGTCGACATGGATCTCTGCTTCGACTGCTGTCAGGGTCGTTGCGTGGCGACGTCACTCTTGCCAAGTTCATCGTTGAACTATGAGGTGAAAGAATAGAGCGAGGAGGACATGGAAGGCAAAGATGAGATATCGTGTTGTTAGATGTCGTTTTTTCTTCGTTTTGAGAGGGAGGAGGAGGAGGAGGAGGAGGAGGAGGAGGAGGAGGAGGAGGAGGAGGAGGAGGAGGAGGAGGAGGAGGAGGAGGAGGAGGAGGAGGAGGCGAGAAGGGAAGCAGTTGTGATCTAATTTATTACTGTCTTCCTCCAGGACTGCGACCTGACGTGCATGCTGCACTGCGGGTGAGTCGGAGGGTTAAGAATAGTTAGTCTCGTGACGTCTGTCAGGTACGGACGAGAGTTGCCGTTGGACGGGGGTCCCCCAGTGCTGGAGGAAGGAGTTTGCAACCGAACGAGCTGAGCTCAAGCTACTTGTGCACTAGACCTAAACACACCTCAATCGTCAGAGCTCTCCGCCTCATTGCCGCTCCCTCCTCCTCTGCCTTCCCCGTCATGCTCAAAACCCTCGAGGCTTTCCAGCGCGTCCTGACCTCCCGCAGCGACGCTACCAGCGTCGGCTCTGTTCTTCCTCGACTTCTTGAGCTCCTTCCTCGCCTCGCGCTGCTCAGGAGTCTCGTCCTTGAGCGCCTGCTTCTTCAGAGCCTTCCGGAGCCTCCGCTCCTCGTCGCTCTCATGTTTCTTCTTCTTGGGATACGCTCGTTGCACCTCGACGGGAGACTCCGGCAGGTTCAGCTCGTGCGCCACTTGGAGCTCTTCGACCTTGCGGGACCCTCGGGGTAGGGATGTTGTCGTGTCTGCTTCCATGTACGCCATCCTCTCTTGCACCGTTCCTCTCCCCGCGCCCTCGGGACCAGCGAGCCCCTCCACCCTCCTCCGCGGCCTCACGTATGCCGGCACTTCCATGACCTCCATCCCCCCCATCGGCGTGTCCAGCTGCCCGACGCCAGCATGTAGGTAGGAGACTTGACCTGCATCCTCGTCGCCGACAAGAGGCGAATGACGGGGAAAGCTCTCGAGGTCGTTGGGAAGCGAATCGTGCGAGACATCGTCGGGATGCTGACTGCCGTCTTTGATCTCCAGCACGTTCACCTCGAGCCCCAGGAACCTGTCCAGCTGGGTCTTGATGTCATGAGCTGTCATCCTGCTCGACCTGACCTGCAGGCATGACGGGGTGCCGGATGTGAAGGTAGTGACCGGGCGCGAGTCCTGCTGGAAGTAGACGACGACTTGCGATCGCGATTTCATCCCGTACCTGGACTCGAAGTATTCGTCCTCGCCCTCACCGAAGGAGAACTGTGCTCTGTCCTGAGAGTCCTCGCCCTCTCCGACAAAGTTGTCTTGGAAGCTCTCGACCCGGATGCTCACGATTTCTGAGAGGGCGAACTCGCTGGAGGAGTAGCAGACGCAGGGGATGCAGTTGAGAAGCTGATGCTCCTGCCTGAACGAGTCCAAGTTCTTGTCCATCCTCGTGTTCGTCACGATCGTGAAAGGCAGGAGCACCAGGAAGGACATCAAGGCGAAGGTCAGGAGCACCGCCCCGATCCATGTCGGGATTCGCACGCTCGAGCTGTCGACCGGCTGGTTGGCGGCGGCAAGGAAGAAGATGGCAGGAACAAAGAGAAGGAGGAAGCAGAAGAGCCAGGTGATGGTCCACTTGAAGGCTGAGTTCTTGACCAGCAGCACGTTCTCCGACCGTACCTCCACCCTCGCCATCTTCAGCCCAGCATAGACCAAAGGTGGCAACGGATAACGGGGGCAGCGAAAGTCTAGATAGGGCAGCCGGGGTGAAATAGTTCTGCCCTAGAAATTGGGGGAAGGGAAGGGAAGGGAATTAAGGGGCGGAATTCAGGCAGGAGCAGGAGCAGGAGCAGGAGCAGGAGCAGGAGCAGGAGCAGGAGCAGGAGAACAGGACATTTGGGTGAGGAGAGCAGAAGCAAGAGGAGGTCAATGCCATCAAGGTACCTCCGCCTCTGCGTTGTTGTTCTTGTCTTCTGCTGGATCGCACCTTCCAAGTCTGAGTGAGAATCCTCTGCTTCTATGCTGCTTTCTCATCAGCCACCAGGACCGGAAGCATCACAGATGAGGACATGAGCATATGCCACGGTAGAGCTACCTACCTCCTCCCCCTCCCCCTCCCCCAACCTTTCCCCCTCCTCCCTTGCCCTCGAGCTGTAACCCTGGGCTCAGGTCTGCTGCATCAAGACATCCCTGACGTGTCCTACGACTCGAGGTTCCCTCCCGCTCCTCCTCTCGCGGTCTCATCTCCTACCCCAGCTGGAAGGAGCTGCCACGAGGGCACGTGCCGGACGGTCTGCGCGTTTGGGGAAAGCTCGAGGAAGGGTCAGCAGCGACAACCTTCGTAGCCTCCGGCACCTTGCACAACGTTACGAGCAGCGCGGTAGGGAGCATGACCGGTCCACTTGAGGGTAGCTCAAGGGGTTCAGGTGCTCGCCACGTTCGAAGGAACGAACTTCACACAGCGCAAGACGTGGGACCCGTCGTGCCTCGCCTTGAACGTGATCTCGAGGAACGAGAAAGTCCCAGCGCCAGCAGCTGAACTCATGTGGTTTCAACAGCCATGAAACCGATCAGGTCGTGCGGTGGGTGACGGACCTTCCTTGGCCTCTATCCGACAGGGAGTACATCTTCAGGTGCGGTCGCTTGCTCCTGCAACCTTGGCTGACGCAGGCGGGTGTAGACGGAGGATCGTCTGCCGAGAGGATGGCTCGTGCATCGCCGTCAGCAAGGTCAGTGGGTTGACCTGCGCGAGACGCTCAAGGTTGTGCAGACTGTGGCAGAGGAGTCTGTGTTGATAGCAAGAGATCCCTCGCTGGTGCTGCTACTCCTTGTTGAGGACCAGCACGGTCTAAGCTGGGGGACAGGTGCGGGTGAGGGACTTCGTGCAATACTCGCAGATTCGTCCTTCCAAGGTGAGGGAGCCTAGAGGAAGCAGCTACATTCTGATCTCGTTCACCTGCCCCCTCCTCTGCTCGCTTTCTCGGCAGGACGGGAAAGGAGTCGACGTCGGGTTGCTGTAATGCTGAGACCGACCAAGTGGGATTGTTGACGCCTGACCTTCAGGTATCGTAACGACCTGGAAGGAAGCCTTCCGCACTGGGTGGTGAAATGGTTCAGCAACATTGGAGTGAGTTGGGATCAACCAGCTGTGATCTTATTTGTCTTCTCTCTCTATCTCGCCATATTTCCTTTTCTACCTCCTCCCACCTCTATTTCCCTGCTCTCTTGTGAACTTGTTGCCTTGTTTTCGTAACTTGATTTCTTTCTTCCATGTGACACCTTTTTCCCTTCTCAGCTTCCCATCTATCTGAAGCAGATAGAGAAGGAGATTCGGTCACACTCGTCTCATGTCAAATAGCTGTTATCTTACAATACCATCTCTACTTTCACTCCCACACACTCAGCTCACATCTCTCTCGCATCCTCCTCCCCTCATCTCCCCCTCCATGTGTCTTCATGTCGCTGCATTGCACTTCACTTGCTGCTGTTCAGCCAGCTACCCACGAAGCTCGACCATCTGCGAGCGTCTCAGAGAGGGCAGGAAGCTAGCGGGCGCACCTCAGCTCCCCGCCGACTCTTGACTTGACCTCTCCCACCTTCCCCATGTCAGCCTAGTCACAAGCATGTCGATCGCTCACCTTCTTTGGGGGGATGCGGCCGAGGACGGGCAGTCGTTGAGAGGAAGGAGGAATCTTATGCAGCATCGCGAGACCTTCTACCATCACCTGCGGCACCTCACTCTCCTCTACCCTCCTGTGCTCCTTCACCCCAGCAGCGACCGGCCCCTTCTCTCCGTCGTGCGACATCTCTCGCAGTATCCTCCTCCCCATCTCCAGAGCCTTCGCCGCCCGTCCGCCCGTCAAGCTGAGCAGCGACTGGACCCACACCTGCCACCCGTCAGGCCGAAACCCGCGGGCCCGACAGCCTCACTCCGAGCGTAGGAAAAGAGATCCTTCCCGTGAGGTCCAATCGGCGCTGAGAGGGGGTGAGACTCTCCCGCCTCCTCCCTCCCCTACCTGCAGGCAGTTCCAGGTCTTGTCTTTCGTTGTCCCCTGAAGTATGTTCTCCTCCTCCTCCTCTCCCTCCTCCGTCGCGTCTCTCGAGCTGTCCACGGTCAGGTCTGCTGCATCAGAAAGCTCCTCGCCCTCCTCACCTTGAGAGAGATTCGTACGCTATCAGGTCGAACTGCACCCAAGAGGGCAGCGAAGATGCTGAGAGTACGCCCTTCCCCTCCTCCTTCCTTTCTCGGTCAGCTCCGACACCAGCCCTCGCTTCCTCCTCTTCTCACCTTCGACCGATGCACGTAGCTCAAGGCCGACGCATGCTCTCTTCGCAGCAGAACGAGCTCGAGCTGGGGGAGGGAGTCAGCTCTGCGTGCCTGGAGCCTCTTGGGGCTGACGGACCTGCTTGACGCCTTTGGATCTCGTGAAGTTTCTTGACCTGCCCCAACATCACCCACAGCCGCCGCACTCTCACGACCAGCTCACTCCAGCTCCTCGAGCTCCTCGCTCCTCCCCCACATCCCTTTCGCTATCTCCACCCACGAGTCTTCGCGGTGGTTTCCCTCCTCCTCTTCAAGTGGCTTTCCTACGAGCATCCTGTTCCTGCTAACGTCCATCCTCACGGCCACCGGCGCGTCCTTGCTCGGTTGGACATGCGCGTCTAGCGTCAGCCCGCCGGTCAACTTCAGCACTTTGAGGTCGCCATGGAGGTCGAGGAGGTCGAGGAGGAGAGCAAGCAGCCTGAACGCAGGCAAGTCAAGCGAGGGAGGATGAGAAAATCAAGTTCCTGCAGGAGGAGACGACGCCCGAGCTCAGGCAGCTCTCGAGCTCCTCGTAGAGTGCTTCTCCTTCGTCTTCCTGCTCAAAGCAAGATCAGCAAGTGACTTCAGCTGGCGTCTCCTTACATGAGAATAGGGAAATGCCAGGACACGATCCGACTTTCTCTGCTGCGTCTTGGGAATGCTTGAGCTGTCCTGCAGCGACTCCAGCAAAGCCTGGTGCAAGTACGGCAAAGCTTTCTCCTCGCCTGCCGCCCATCAACGAGTCAGCAGGACAAGAGAAAGTCTCACAGGAATTCAAGGTGAAGGCTTCGACGCTTGCGGGGCACCTTTCTCTTTCAAGCCTGCAGCAAGAATGAACAAGTGAGAACCACTAGCGTTATCAGCACTTTATCCAGTCCTGAAGCTCTGACTTGACTCCGTCCCAGTCAATCCGGACGGTCGAGACATTTCGTTTCTCCATGGCTTCTCCCACTTCCTTGTTGACGTAGACTGGCCAGTTCAAAAAGAATTCCGCGAGGTCTGCGGAAGGAATCGCCTGCAGGAGGTTTCAGGCGTGCGGGGAGCCTTGTCCTCGTCTTCACCTGCTCTAACGGGTTGACCCCACACGTCGGCTTGCAGAAGAGCCCTGCTTGCACCCCGAGATTCGCAGCTCGCAGAGGAAGAATCTGCTCCTTGTTCGGTGATCCTTTCTTCTGCTCAGGTAGGCTGCTTCCTCCCAGACGGAAGGGAGCGACAAGCTTCGAAGCCTCGCTGCGCCTCCTCATCACGCAGTCCCCCAACGTCTCCTTCACATCATGTTTCTCTCACGCATCCAAAAATCATCGTCGCACCTCCGCCAGCGATGCAGCGTAGAGATGTTGGGGAAAGATGCTGTCAGAGTCGATGCCGTGGAAGGGGCAGGGGAACTCGACGTCATCGGGTGGGGCCTTGACGAGCGAGGGATCGAAGTCGACGTCATCTTTGACTCGCGTCAAGTCTCGCGTCAAGACCAAGACTACTCACCCGCGATGATCATGTGCGTCTCAGTCACGACGGCCCATTGCACCAACAAGACCCACGGGCTTTCTGTCTCGAAGCCTATCAGAGGGACCTGAGGCCATGATGAGCCTTCACGTCGCAGCTACTTGTGCTTACATGTAGAGCAGCAAGAGCGTGTCGTAACGAGCATATCGCACTGGTTTCAAACGCCCTCTTTCTCGATATTCGTTTCTTCGTCGTCTCACTCGTCCCGTTGCCCTCGCGATCTCCCTCTCGCTGTGTCACCACCATAGCAAGGAGCGGAAGCTTGAGCTTGTCAGAGATCCACAGCGCATGCTTGCGGCAAGAAGACTAAGTTGAGGGAGGTAGAGGAACAACATACCGACAGCGCAAGGTTGTCGCATACCCTCCTCGATTTGCGTATCAGGTAGAGAATCTACCCGGTATCACCGAGCTGAGACTGCAACACATTCAACATCTACTCACATGCCGGCCGTTCCTGCGATGGGAGGGTTTCGGAAAGGAGAAGCAGCGGCTTCTCAGCTTGATAGCAGCAGGCCACCGCTCGCTGCAGTTGCAGTCAGCTCAGAACCAGCTGGTGTCGCCTCTCACCGCACAAGCAGGTAGGGATCTGCTGGGGGAACTTGTGGGGCGATCAGAGTCTGCATCGGCTCATCTGAGTTGTAAGACGGAGACTACTCTTGCGGTCAGAATGAGCCAATGGAGGAGCAGCGAGGTATCACTCGGTTCGTCGCCACCCCTTGCTCCTCTACCATCCTATGAACCATGATGCATCAGATGCAACAGGACATCAAAGAGGAACGCACATGTCATCGGAAGAAGCTTTCTCTTCTTCCTGCGTAGTTTCCCTTCTCTCCGGTGTACATGAGGACACCAACTGTTCTTCCAGCATCTTCATGGCTTGCCAGGCATCAAACGGCACAGCTCTGCCGCATGCACAATCAGCAGAGTCGCTCTCATTCGTGTGATGTTAGTGTTGCCTGCAAGGAGGAGAGAGAAGAGGAATGGCGTCGTTATCGGGTCCCAGCACCACTGAGATCTCCAGCATCTGTCCAGGCATCAATCGCATTCGCCTTCACTCTCCTCCTCTCTCCTCCTCTCTCCTCCTCTCTCCTCCTCTCTCCTCCTCTCTCCTCCTCTCTCCTCCTCTCTCCTCCTCTCTCCTCCTCTCTCCTCCTCTCTACTATCCTGTTCTTCTCCTGCATCCTGTTCTTCTCCTGCACACTCTACATGACACTCATCGCCGCCGCCGCCATCGCTGTCTCCGCATCAAGTTCTGCCATTGCATTCGCTTGGCGCAGATGATGGGCGACCAGGCCACAAAAATTCCTCTGGAAATGCGGTGGAAATGCTGAAAATGCCAGTGAGGCTGGCAGCAAGAACGGCAGGGGAGCGGGAGGGGAGGAGAAGGAGGGAGGATGGGATGATGCGGAGGAGAGGAGCAGGGATGCAGTGAGGTTGTCCAACCAGTAGAGGCGGGCAGGGAAAGCGGCAGGGAAGCGTGGAGAAGCGGAGGGAGGAAGGAGGGAGAGAGGTCGAGGGTTCGTCAGGATGCGTGTGGTGGAGGATCGTTTGTTCCTGCAGCAGGAGGGAGCGATTCTTGGTCGGGTGGCTGAGGGCGATCGCTCCTCATGGCTCTTGGTGGGCGTGCAGCCCGCTGGGATCCTTGGGATTCACAGCGACCAGGAGGAAGCGAGGTGCCGGTGGCTGCTGACGGCGCCAGCAGAATGTGTTGCTCAAAGCCAAAATATGGTGCAGATGGGAGGATTCTTCGTGCTCACGAGGGACGGGAACGTCTGGTGCTGCGAGTTTGAAACAAGCAACGTCAGAGAAGGGAAGCGAGCAAGGAGCGAGTTGGAGCGAGCTGGCAAACCTGGAGGGATCGCGATGGGAGCAGATAGCTGCATGGCGGGGCGGAGAGGAAGGGCCATGTGCATAGGCAGCTCAGCAGTGGGGTCAAGCTTCCTTTGCTTCACTTCTTGTCAGGACTTGTTGGTACTCGGATGGCGAGGGGGAGGGGTAGACACTTCAGTCTGGATGTTTCCACAGCAGTTGAGGCTGACAAGTCAAAGGGCCTCGAGCATGAGCAGAACGATGATCCAAGAGGTCGAGGCCTCTGCAGCACAAGCTGTGATACTCCGCGATATCTCTGAGATCCGCGAAGACGACCTCTTGCCCACCAAGAACAGCTTCAGACTCGCAGGCCTCTTGTTCGACCGGCTCTTCGGCTGCACTACAAGTTGAAGCCTAACTAATGCTTGCTCTTCTCCTCTGAGACTATCCTGTTCAGGTCCTGTCCTTCTCACCCAAGGGAGGTCGACATTGGGCTTTTACCTCCTTGAGCTGGAGTCCAGCAGCAGTTATCGGGTGAGTTCTACAAGTCCGGTGTGCATGCCGGCTGAGTTTAAGAGGAAGAGGGTGGAAGAGCTCAAGGCTGATCGACCCTCCGCTTTCATCGCTGGTGTCTCCCTGAGTCCCGACAGCTTGTCGAGCAGAAAGCGGCAGATCGCCGGTGAAGTGCAGCCGGACGACGAGGGGCGACGGCTGATGTTTGACCCGAGCAGATAGCGTTCTCTTCATCACTGAGACAGGGATCGAGTCTTCTCTCTACCATCAAGATCGTCACAGCAATCGGGTACTCTTTGCGTCAGTTGACTCGTGGCCAAGTTTAACTTTCCTCCGCTCGCTGCAGATGTCAAAAGTTGACTTCCAAAATCTTCCATTGATAGAGAGCTTTTCGACCTCTGGAAGCGAAGTTTTCCTACTCAGTATCTGCTGTGAAAAGACTGACGGGTTTCTGAGAGAATCTGCAAGGTGTTGGGGTTGTCGTTCGCTTCCAGCTCTCAACCGACGAGCACGGCGGAGTGAAGTGCGAGGCGAAGCAGACTTTCAAGCTTGCGGTGAAGGTAACAGTGAGATCTCTTGTCGATATCTTAAGTTGAAGTTGACTGTCAGGTCGTGGACTTGCATGTGCATCGTGACAACAGCCAAGACGATGGAATGAAGATCCATGTGGCTACGTCGAAGGGGTGTATCATCCAGCTAGATGAGGGCTACCAAGCGAAGGAAGATGTGCGAGAAGGTGAATATGACAAAGAACTCAACAGATCCTGATGCCTCAAAGAAGGCCATGGAGAACGACATGCGAATTCCATCAAATCTAGTTTGGAGGTCAAGTTGCCATCCTGCCGGATTTTTCTGATCCTGAATCTTGCAGATGATTTCGCAAATTGACAGGAGAAGGAAACAACTCAAGGGAGAGATCGAGGCTCTTGATTCAAGCATCTTCAACCTGTGAGAATAGCTATACTTGAATCACCCATGATTTCAAGTGGTAGGAACAAGTATTGCAAGCGAGCTTTGAATGAAAAGAAAGAGGTACCGTTTCACTTGTTGTAAAAGCAAAATGAAATGCTCATCTTTGATGTGTTGGGCCAGGTCCCGTCGGATTGCGTTCTGAGAAGCGAATTCTGTGAGGATACAAAAGGATGGAACAGCATATCAGTCTCCTTCCAACCTTCGCTTCAAGACGATTCAGATACCTCTTCTGGAGCACATTTCATCATCGGCGACTTCAACTCTCTCTTTCCAGCAGAAGATTCCATCTTCTTTTCATCTTCTGTCTCGCAAACCGAAGGTGTGCATGAAACTATTCAAGCTCATCCCGACCTCGGCGTCTGGTCTCTTTCCTTTGGCTCGATTCACCTGTCTTCCTACCGCGTTCTTCCTTTGGTGCGAACTTCTTCTATCGTCAAAGTCTGAGTTTGTTTGTAAGGTTAAGGCAAAGTCAGAAGGAGACAGGGAACGGATTTCAACCTCTGTCGCTCTCCCTTCATCTGCAATGTTTAAAGCTCAAGCTTCTCCCACTTCGAAGGGGTCTAGGCGAAATACTCTCGCCTACCTGCCAGATCGCAAGCAACCTCCTTTCCTTTCTACCACGAAGTTATCAACTCCTTCCCTCAACCAAGTGAAGCTAAAGTGCCAGTGGCATACTTCAAGTCTGCATGCTGCATACCTCGATCTTGCTTTGTCGACTCTTGGCAAGAAGATTTCAGCGGAAGGCCCTCACCACATGTTCGGTTGCATCAGACTCACACGGAAGGTGAAGAGATGAGTTGCGAACTTGACTGACAGATGGAAAGGTGAGAGAGAAATGTATCGTCATGGAGTGCGACAATGTGAAGGGACAGGTCTTGGGCGAGTCATGTAGACCTGCCGAACGCGACCCACACGTCGTTACGGCTGCCACGTTTGCTTGGGCAAGAAGCTGCTGGCTACATCGCGTGTTAGCAGCCAGTCAGAGGGAGGACGAGGGGCGTGGGGCTGAAGGGGCTTCGCTTTCTCTCTCGGAGCTCAACAATTGGAGAGACTTTGCTATCAAGAAGCTGGTGAGACCTGCGGGGCCGCATGGCGGGACTTACGCGAGGCAGGTGAGCATACGGAAGCTGAGGACTGACTGGGACTTGATGGGCATGATGAGTGGAGAGAGCCGGAGTGAGATGAAGGGCCCGCGACCCACTTTGACAACTGTACAAGATCGTCATGTTTTGTTCAAAGAATAACTTGTTGTGCTCCATCAGGTGAGGAAAGAGCTCTCTGAGATCATAGAGACGTACTTAGAGATCCGTTCCGCTCCCGATTTCTCGCTGGTTGCGCTGGAATGCTCTTCTAGGAAGCCTCGATGATCATTGGTTGTCATCGTCAGAGAGCTCATCCAACGCTGATTGTAATATACTTAATCTTGATTCCTGAGCCTCTGATCCCCAACGGTCAAACATGCAAAGATTACGGCAGGGATTACCTTTGGACGGTATCGAGTCTTTCCATGGCAAGTCTTTCGACTCTTGAGTTGCAAACAGTTCAACTGAGCCACTCGAGGTTTCTAGTTTGCTCGACGTATCGACTTCTTCCTTTCTCTTGGCGCCTGTGGCCCATTCCAGCTCCTCAGCAGCATCGTGCTGAGCTTTCTTCTTGCGAAGAATAGCTTGCAGTTGCGAATCCATCTGTGCTCACGAGCAGCGAAGACCAGCGTCAGCTTTCACATCACACATTCGTGTCCTCTCTTCTAGCCCAATAATCACATTGCTCTGTGAATTCGGGCAGAGGCAAAATCAGCGATGCTTCAATCTACAGCTCTCTGTCTCTCTCTGTCTCTCTCTCTCGCTCTCTCTCTCTGTCTCTCTCTCTCACGCTCTGTCTGTCTCTGTCTCTGTCTCTGTCTCTGTCTCTGTCCTTCTGTCTCTGTCTCTGTCTCTGTCGCTCTGTCTCTCTTTCTCTCTCTCTCTCGCCATTCCCTCGGTCGTTTTCCGCATCCCCTCCCGCCAAGTCAAACCAACATTTTGAACACGTTCACCCCTGAAAGTTTCCACTCCTCGTAGATTACCACTGGCTAGATGACACGGTGTCGCTCAAACCGGCTGTGTGGCATCTCTTCCAGTATTCCGAGTAGTTGCCGCACTGTCAGTCCTCATAGTGAGATGGATCGTTCTCTCTGCGGTGTTGGTGAGAGCCTTGATGGTGTGCGGAAATAAGACGGTTTTGATCTAGGAAAACATTGAAACAACTACTCAGAGGCAAGCCTACTTCTCCACACTCGCAAAGATGTCAAGTTGGTTTGCGCAAGGTTGATATTGCGGTGACTGCAGTCGGTTCAGAATCGCCGCTGGCGTCAAGTCCTGACAACGGGGCGGGTCAGCGAGCTCGACTAGAAAACAAGAAAGAGTTCACAGATTTGCTCCCGCATATCTTCTGGAGAGGAACCAGACCCTTGGACAACCAGATATCGTTCATGTAGATCTCACGATATTGGATCTACAACCCAGTCAGAAATTATACTCCCTGCCTGCAACCTTGCCATACCAACTTCTGCGAACTCAAGATGAGGTTGTAGTTGCTGTCGCGGTAAGCCTACCGCCAGTCACGCGCTTTCTTTCCCTCATACAGCAACTGAGCCGCACCTGGTGCTGCTGCCCTGCTATGATATACAGAGTGTCGTGATGGACCAAGACGGCGAACCCGTACCTGCTTGCAACGAGTCAGTGACCAGCCGCAGGCGCAGTAAGGCTGCCGGTATTCGCCGTAAGTCCTCCCGACCCTGCACCGACTCGTCATCTCACAGCAGGAGCACAAGTCTGTGGGACCATTCGTAGAGATGGAACTCCGGCACCAGGAAGCTGTTGAGGGTGAAGGGCCGGTAGGCCAGACGCCAGACGACCCCATCCTGTGCCCCGTCACTTCCTGCGACAACCCGAGACTCACGGGCAGACCGTGCTGTAAAAGATCCGGTTCTCTAGCTGCGGCCCCTCCTGTGTCGAGCTGCAGGCTGCCAAGAGAATGAGAGGGAAGAAAAGGAAAAGAGGAGTCAGGAGGAGAAGGCAGAGAGCACGAGAAAGGAGAAGGCAGAGAGGAGGTTGAAGAGAAGACAGAAGAGAGGAGGAGGAGAAAGTGGAGAAGGCGGATGACAGCGGACCTGTTGGTTTCTCGTGCTGCCCTGCGGTGTAGTCGTGACACCCGAGGGTGAAGAGCATCATATAGTCCCTGTACGCGACCGCAGCCTGCACATCGACCTGTCGAGGAGTCATAACCTGCCTAGTCTTCCGCAGGCGAAAGACCATGGTAAGAGCACAGGAGTCGGGGACAATCTCCCAGTTGACTCCGTCGGGGGAGGAGAAGGTGTTGTAGAACTGAGCCTGCACGCTCCCCACCACCCACAGCTTGCTCCTGTACACCAGCGCAAAGATGTTGTTCCTCCCTTTCCAAACCGTGTTCGAGTCCACCAGGCTCCACTTCTTGAGGTCGACCGTCATCCACAAGTCAGCCGTCCATCCTGCTGCCCCTTGTCCCCCGATGAGCCACAGCTTGTCCTGGAATTCCACTGCCTGCGCGTTGCTGCGGGCTGACCAGGGGGCAGAGGAGGTGACTGAGATCCAGAAGCCGCTGAAAGTCTCTGCCAACTCACAGCTTAGTCGCTCTCCACTCCTCTCGGCCTCAGAACGTCACCTCCTTTGGCCAGCTTCGGTTGAGGAGTCGTTGCAGTCCTGCAGCGAGATGACTAGACGAAAGATGTGCAGAAAGAGCAGAGAAAGCAGGCCGAGAGAAGAAGAGGGGAGGAAGAGATGGATGAGGTGGTGGGAGGGGAGGAGGACGAGGAGGGGAGGGGAATTAGAGGCATACACGAAGATGTCGCGGATGTTAGTGTCTGCAGCATAGATCCACACGTCGTTGAAGAAAGTGTTCTTGGCATTTGAATAGCCTCCAAGAACGACCAGGATGTCTTTGAAGATGGTCATCTAGAGGAGAACGAGTTGAGTCATCCCAGCAGCAGCACCTCCCTGCCTCTCCCCGCCTCTCACAGAGATGTTCGATCGCTCCGAGAACCAAGGGGCAGCATCTTGCCACGCGAACTCGTACCAGCCGTTGATCCCGTCAAAGGTAGACGAGTAGATGTTCTTCGTCTCCGCCTGTATGGCCGTTAGCTCGGGCTGACGTCACCGCCTCCTCTCACGATGCTCTGAGTCCTTCCCGTCGCCAACTTGATCGTCCCGTCCGGGTACGAGACGGCAGCGAAGTAGTTCCTGGGGGGGAAGAATGTGCCTACCGCTCCCTGCGTGAAGAAGATGACATCCTTTCCCATGGCCGGCGAGAAGTCGCGGCAGGCGGCGCGGAAGGTGATGGTGGAGTTGCTGGTGGAGACTTGAGATCTGAGACCAACAGCCTGCATGATGGCGTCGACGGGAACCCTCACTGATTGCAAGACATCTGTTAGACATTCCCAACTTGTTGCTGGTGTGACAAACCATCTCCGCTCGGCAACGAGACTGAAGGTGATTGCACAATCTTTCCAAACATTCGCAAGTTACTTGAAGTCGATCGCCAGAGATTGTCACCATCTGTTGCAGACGCACTCCATTGACGATGATGTTGCTCAGTACAATCTGGAAAAAATGTCAATCCAAGCCAAGAAAGAATGACCACAAAGTTCCTTGTCCGAGAAAACTACTCCTCCATCGCACTTCCTGAAACTCGTCAACATGTCTGCTGATACGGTTCCTGCGCCAAGGTCATCATCCAAGGATTGCGCTGCAGTAATCTTACCAGCTGCTTGCAGTTGGCTCATCTCTGCTATTGTCGCGTCGGTGATCAAGCTGAAGCACATCTGGAACTGTGGGACGACAATGAGCTCATGCTCAGATCGGATCGGATTCTTACTTGCGCATACTTCCACCAGTCGATGGACGACGCGTTCAAGGGTACAAGTTGAGAATCATACGGGACGGTCAAAACCCTGGTGGTCAAACGCTCAGACTGTAAGACAAGAGGCAGAAGAGGATGGGTGGAGCTGAGATGGAGGAAGCGGACGGGAGGAGCTACGGGGCTGAGGATGCCAACAACAATGTCGAGATTTCATACCCTTCGGCTGAAACTTGTCGGCCAGCGTAATTAGCATTCAGATCCACTCCGAAGTTCAAGCCGACAACGGTGAGCTGAAAAAGTTCAGATGTGCAAAAGTGAAGAGATGAAAGCAGAGGGAGAGGAGAGGAGCGGAGAGGAGAAAGGATCAGATGAAGAAGAGAGGAGAGAGGAAGCGAGCTATGGGCTTAAGAAGGAAGGGAGGAAGAAGGCAAGAAAACGAAGCTGCGAGAAATCGATGATGAAGGAAGGTACCAGGCTGGAGCTTCCAGCAAGTAGCTCGGGAGGAAATACACTCCAGACTGTCACAGGTCAGAAGAGTTCAGGGGAGGAGGAAGCAGGAGATCAACAGGTTTCAGCAAGGAGCGTCAGGGGTCACAAGCTACTGATTCAGCACCTTGGGGCTTCTCATAGGAGAAGGAGAAACCGTTGGAAGACATCCCGCCGACCACCAACGTCATCGTCTGACTCCCTCCGAAGGGAAGAGCCTCGCAGATGAGCTTGTCGTCAGGACAACTGCGAACAAGTCAAAGATTTCTCCTCTCTCGGCCATGTCCAGCGATGACGCCTCCTGCTCTCCTTGCCCTTCTCTATCTTCGCTTCATCATCACTCGTGCTTCCCGGACTCCCTCCAGCATCCTCTACTCTCTCTGGCTTCTCCGTCCCTTCCACTCGTCCCTCCTCTCACTTTCGTCCGCAGCCCATGGACGCCAGGCTGCAACGGTTGATGCATGTTGTGTATGCTGCCAAGATCATAAGAACCCAACGACCAGCAGTCACGAGGTGAGGAGGGAGGGAGCGGAGGCGATGAGAGCAAGTGACCTTCGGCGAACGCGTACACGCACTTGAACGTGATCGCCTGGTGATGCTGGTCACAACGCTGGCTACTCCTCACCTCCTCAACCTGCTCGGTGGAGCAAAGAGCTAACTTTCGGCCTTCCACCTCCGACTTCACTTGCGCTCCCTGCCACACCATCACTTTGCCATCGGCAGCACGCGCAAGTGTCCGACCGTCAGTGCGTTGAGAGCGAGCAGGTTGACACTGGGGCAAGTCTTGTTGAAGAGAATCTGGTTGTAGTTGCAGGTAAATCATCAGAGCAAGGAAGGAACGGGTCACCGCTCCGTTGTAGTTCAAGAGCAGGCAGGCTCTTTCCGTACTCGTTGCGCAGCTCGTCCTGTACATCTCCCTTGCCGCCCCTCCGAAGTTGCTCCCCTGCTCTTCTTCAGCTCAACCCCAGCTCTCCCATCCTCTAACCTCGATGGTGATCAGGACGGAAGCGTTCTGCACGTTGGGTGCATGACCCGGGGTGAGCTTAGAGATGGTTGGGCTGGTGGAGCGAGTGAGAGAAGCAAGGGAGGAGAGTCTCCTCGCCTTGAGTAGGAGTAGCTCAGGCCGAAGTCTTTGGCGAAGACATAGTCCGTGCCAACCTAGCAAGCTTCAATGTTAGCTTGTCGTTCGCGGGCCAGCAGGTCTCTGAGACCGTCGGCATGTAGCAGTTGCCCCAGGGTTGACCCAAGAAAGTTCCTTGTCCGAAGAGCTTCATGGAGGCTGTAGAGCCGCAAAAATCACTAGTGAAAGTCCGAGGCAGGCAGACCTGTGCAGCCGTCGACCAACGCCTTGTAAGTCGCGTTGCGAATCTATTCGAGACTAGTCAACCGTTGGGGCCAGACAAGTCCAGGGCTCACCTTCACTTGAATCCGATGATCGTACCCAACCCCCGGCGGCATCACACAGTCTACGTACTGCTGGACGGAAGAGCTGCAAGGAGAAAGAGGTGAGGGCGGGTCGGCAGAGAGCGCGAGCGTTTGGACCTGTCGCCGACGGCAGGGAGGAGGATCTCACAAGGAAAGATCCCCCCGAATTTGATCTCCACATCATTATTGTAGATCTGCTCAGTCGGCCGGACTGGAGCACCAGAAAATCAGATCGTGGGAGCAAACTTGGAAGCAGACCGATGGTATAGTGAGTTGTGTTCCCAACTTTCACCTCTCTCCCGGACACTGAACAACTCTTGTCACTTTCTCTCCTTCACCTTTCCACAATCAAACCTGTAAAGTTCCCGTGGATTCGCAGGACACTTGTGCCAGCAAAGCTGCGCAGCGAATCATGTTAAGATCTGAGCGTGCGCTTGCTTACCCGTCCGACTTCACTCTGACACTGTTGAACGAGTGACGCATGTCTCCGCTCGTTGACCCTGTGCAAGACAAGCAGACATCAGCAGAGGGAGGAGAGGAAGCGGCGGTGACTACCGTCACATCCAGTCGCCTGCCCGTTGGAGCTGTACGGCGCATGCAACTCAACAAGAACGACTGGAAGCTCACGACAGCAAACCTTGAGGGACATGCAAGGGACCCAACACATGGGCCGATGCATGTTTGGTCGTAAGTGAAACCGTTTGGAACCTGTTTGGAGCAAATGGCACAATCAACTTCAGGATGCAATAGAAAAGAGAGAACCTCTTTGAGTTTCGTGCCCACCAGAATGTCAAACTGATGAACTCAGTCATGAACTATGATGTCACATGAAGATGACAACTGACCTTGTTCGACTCTCCTCGAAAGTAAATCCCATCGTATGTCACTGGGGCCAGACGACAACGAATCTCCGACTGAGACACCCAGTCCGTCTGAGAGCAGCGTGAGCAATGTCAAGGGTCGCGAGAACGTCTGCCTGAATGCAGCTCGTGCCCCCAATGCGCACACGCGGCGTCAGCTGGTAAGCTCCGAAGTTCTCTCCTCGAAACGTCACCTGCGTCAAATCAACCCTTTGCTCCATTGCCATTCACTCACCGTCGTCTGGCCGGAGGCTGGGCCGTTGCTCCTCATCATGTTTTCGATGTAAGGGGCATCCTGGCACAAGAAATCACAAGTGCACGGCAGAGAGTGAGAGCAGCACGTAAGTGAGGCTGGCAGGAAGAACAGCAAGATTCTTTGCAACAGTCAAGATGACGTCGACCTGCATCGTACAATCTTAACCGAACATCCTTCCTCCTAGAAACAACGTTCACCTTGTCGCCATATGCTGGATTTGACATGCAAGTGACACTTGAATCTGAGAGCCACAGAAAGGACATGCAGACTGTATCTCCCTGGGGGGCAAAAGCAGGCAATTGTGACGCCAAAGAACGTTACAAACAAGGCAAGAAACATTCGTTACCAGCCTCAACGAGCGCTGCACATTTCGAAATCCGAAATTTTTCCCAAAGGCCGTGATCTTGTCGTACAGTCACGTCTTTCAAGGACAAGAACTAGATCAGACCTGTCTTCCAGTGAGTGGCATGTTGATGGGTGCTATAGCTGTGACTTCAGGTGAGTTGTAAGTGAAAACCTGTCAAACTTCTGTAAGAGCTGCTTGCAACACATTTATCATTGCCGCACATTAAAGATCGTGCTGATCTTCTGGTCCATGGTCACTGAGATGCTTACACCGGCATCTGACCCCTCTGGAACCTTTGGACACCATCATGCATCATATTTCAAAAATGTCGAGGTCATTTGAGAATCACTTTGCACTTGACGATGGAATCGGAAACCCATGTGCTTGATAAACAAGCTTTTCCGTCGATTGTATCCTGAAAGGTGAACGTGACGCTTTGACCGTTCAACAAACCCCTAGCTTGAATACCTTGGCTTGTAATCTTGCTCGTGGTGTCACATCATACACTCCGAATCCTTGTTTGCGAATCACGACACGAGACTGTGTGTGGCAAGAGATGTGTAATACCTGCGCCAACAATGGAGATTTCTTGTGATCCGATCGTAACAGCGTTCGATGGGCTTAATCTCATAATCTTTCAACACGCTAAGAAGCAGCAGCAGTAATCAACTTTGTCATAGCACCTTCTGTCTGTCGTATGAATACTTGGTGGACGATACCGTTTCCTTCATAAACATTGTCAATGAGATCGGCAGCGACTCTGACGTTGAGGGAGTATTCTGGCACACAATCGTTGACTCTGATCTCCACCTCGTTGCTTCACATGCTGTAGAGCCCAGGGACGCCTTGGGTGTCCAGTCTGCTCGAGCGAAGTTGGAACCGAGAAAGGAAACTGCAAACCCTCCAGTGGTTGGCCCGTTGTACTGAGCAAACGCATCGATTTGTGGAGAATCGAAAGAAAACTTGCTAGGTAGAGGAAGCTCAAGAGTCTGAGCGACTCCGAGGTTGAACTTCAAGATGGTGATTACAATGCTCTTGTCTTGCCCTGTCCCGCCATAACTCGCTATTTGGCAGCCGATTGTGGTCAACGATACCCAAGTAGTCTTGTCACAAGCTGTGCCGCCTACTCTGGCTTTTTGACTGAAATCCCCATCTCCCAAGTCACTTGCATGCAGGGTCACGGTGAATCCTCCAGCACACGGTCCGTTGGCAGGAACGACGGTGTTGTTGTCCAATGCAGCGGTCAGCGACAATGCTAGCCACAGGAGACACAGGGAGAAGCGAAGGCACATCGTGGTCTGCCGCTTGTCGATGCTACCGAACTAGCTTCTGATCTATCACATGTAGACACACACGCATTGACTTCAAGACTCTCTACACGCGCATCGCCGCCGCGCCCTCTGTCTCTTGCACGCCATGCCGCATCGCAGCAATTGACAAGCCGTCACCCCGCATCCCCTCGCTGAACATTATAACGGCTATAACCGTCTGTTTTACTTGGTTTCCCGGAGAAAAGTAAATTTCGGGGCATGGCAGGCAAGCGGCAAGGTGAAGGTTGATGGAGGAATGCAGACGCTACACAACCAGCTCAGCCTCTTCACACGCCTCATGTCGAACGGAGAGGCAGCAACAGAACACCATGCTTCTGTTCCGGGGGCTAGAAGATGGGAAATCTCCTCGAGAATGCGATCTGTGGTGTCGTCGAAGATGGTACGGTAGTGAAGCCGGTCGAAGGATTATGATTCTTTGTGGTTTGAAGGCTCTCGTCTTTCAAAAGGGGATCAAACGAGATTGGGTGGTTGAGAAGGAACAAGTTGGAAAAGGTAATTTTGGCGTCGTCAAGCGAGCCACGAACAGGCAAGCCCGCAACTTTCACACATTTTATGGGAGGATTTCTCAACCTTATTTCAGATCCACGGGAGACATTGGAGCAGTGAAGGCAAGTTGCATCTGTTACCATATGAATAACCTCAGCTTCTTTTAGATTCAGTTTGATTCTTTTGCAGATCTTAGAGAAACGGTTGTTTGAAGAACAGAATCGACTACAAGAAGTTCTGCGAGAAGTAGAAGTGATGCGATGTCTGAATCACCCCAACTGCATTAAGTTGTATGCAACATATGAAAACGATCAGCAGGTACTGCAATTGCTGCTTCTTTCTCTATGTTGGGTACTTTTGCACTTGTTACAATATGTGATTGTTTCAAGCCTGCTGAAATGAGCTTCTCAGTTCTTCATCGTCATGGAGTATGCCGATGGAGGACAGCTGCTTGATCGCATTGCGGCGAGCGAACACTACTGGTATCAAGATTGTCTGTCTCAAAATGATCAAGTAAAGTTAGCTCGTTCACAGCGAAGAAGAAGCAGCACGTTGCTTCGGGCAGATTGTTCATGCGGTGGGTCACGAATCTCTCTCGGGCGACAATGAGGCGAGGGCAGGTCTCATACCTCCACACCAAGAACGTTGTTCACAGAGACCTGAAGCCTGAAAACATCTTGTTCTCTGACTTGGCAAGTGCTAGACTGGTCGAGGATGCTGATGACAGAGTTCACAGAGCCCCAACGCAACCATCAAGCTCTGTGACTTCGGTCTGAGCAGACGAGCCCTCCTTCCTCGCCAACGCTTCTGGTCGAGGTGAGAGCTTGGAGGGTATCAGTCTCGTCGTGTCAAATCAGTCTTGTATCACATCAGTCTTGTATCACATCAGTCTTGTATCACATCAGTCTTGTATCACATCAGTCTTGTATCACATCAGTCGTGTCTATGCTTTCCTCACTACCTCGAGCAGGTGCGGATCGCCGGACTATATCGCGCCCGAGGTCCTTGAAAGATGCGGGTACAAGTCTGCTTGCTGCACCCTCTCCGTTAACAAGAGCGTCAGCTACGGCTTTGAGTGTGATGTGTGGAGCTTGGGAGTCATTTTGTTCCTGGTTCTTCCTGCCAATTCAAGTGCCAGCGTTCAGTGACTTCTGTCCTTTTCAAAGATGCTGAGCGGAAATCCTCCATTTCAACACAAGAATGTAATCACGAAATATCAGAGTATTAAGGTATCATGATTCACGGGCTCCTCCCTCTGAACTTTGTGTATCAGCGAGCATCATTTACGTTTGAGCATCCCATCTGGAAGATGATCTCGACGGAAGCCAAGGTAGAGATGTTGCTGGTTGAGCGACAAGTAACTTTTGTAGGAATTGATCCAAGGGATGTTGACGGTTGACACGAGCAAACGATTCACGTTGATGAAACTATCTGCTTCTTTGCATGGCTGATGATTTGAGATAGTTGCTCGGAGTGCTCATCTCATCCTTGGTTCAAGAACTACGAAGCTGGGAGGTTGAGTTCGGTCCATCTATGGGGAATGCAGGTGGCAAGGCGAGGTGGCAAAGCTTGAATTCTGAGGAGTGTGTAGGAGAGAATCAAGGGATGGTCGGTAGAGAAGCGTCTGATTGGCCTCATCTGCGTCGTTCTCGGTGAGCCTTCATAGTTTGCTGCGACTCACAGGGTGACGTGGCGTGTGAAGCCTTGATTCGCGTCCAGAAGGCTTCGATGAGTGCCGGTGTGGCTGCTGGAGGCCTCCTAGCTGACTACTCACGCTGGGAGGCTTCAGAGCTGGGGGCAATGAACAAGAGGACTCTCGAGCCGGAACGGGCCGTCGAGATTCTGACGGAGGTCAGGCAGTGGGGACATGCTGGTGTCTGAGTGTTCTGCAGATCAAGTTGAACCCGTCCCGTGAAAGCCGTTTGAGAGCAGCCTTCGACCTCCTCGACAACCAGGTTCTCACCCTCTCATCACTCCTGCCGTGACGTGGCAGCAGAGAAACGGCATGCTGGGGAAGGAGGACATCCGTCTGTCAGTTGCAGCGCTGTTCGGAGGCCAGCTCAACGTCGAGGAGGAGGAGCTTGTCACGTACTCGCACTCCCTCTGGAACATGTTTGATGTCCTCAACACGGGAGTGGTTGGTTTCGAGGATTTTTGCATCGCATTCGGTCGTTATCTCCCTCTCCTCCCTCCTCCTCTCCTGCTCATGCCACCACAGAGACCTATGGTGCTTCCTGTGACGAGCCGTTGGATCAGCAAGCGCAGGATGGTGAACTTTCCTTGCTGTTCAAGGTGCTGGACACAAAGTGCTGCGGAGCGATTGATCACGTGGATCTACAGCTTACGTTGGCAAGGATAGGGTGAGAGGATCTTGCTTTGTTTGAAGGAGTTGGAATGAGATGTTTTTAGGTATGAAGCAAGTGGTGAAGAGTGCCGCAACATGATCTCGATCATGTCCAAAGTTTCGAATAGAAGGCATTCGGATCATTTGACCGTTGAGATGCTCCGCGAGTTCACAGACAACTATGAAATCATCGTCAATTCATCTACACGGCATCAACAAGACAGAGATTCGCTATTAAGCTAACAGCCATGTACACAATTCCAACAGGTATGTAAATAAAATTGTCCCAACGAATCAGGTCTGGCCAGTCAATCTGCAACCAACAATGAACGTCAGCCATACCTGTTCCAATGTCAGCACGAGGCAGATCAAATCGCCATGTGATACCATGGCCTCCACCATCAGCCTTTCGATCTCCAAGAAACCTTGTTTTGCACTGAAATCAATCACAAGTCTGTATGAAGGGAGTTGTGGGTGCTGGATGAAACTTTGAACCCTGGTGACTGCCCACGACCACAACGTGAGAAGCTGCTGGAAGGTGTTGACAACTCCTTGTGCCACTCTCATTCTTGCCGTTTCACCCATGCTGCTCATCCAAGCTTGAACCGAGAAGCGAGTGACAACAGTTGACTCACCGTCCAGGAAGGAGAGCGAGGGGGAGGAGAACGACGTCCATGTAGTCAGCCTCGGGGAGCGATTCTATGTATCCTTTCGAGCCGAACTTCTTCTCTAGCTTCAGGTCATTCAGATCAACCGTCATTCACACTTGTCTCTCAGGACAGGAGCAAAGAAAAAGAGATGAGGAGCGCAACCCTACCTCTCTCTTCCTTGCTCGGGTGGCCATCGAGACTTTTTCCGGGTTGAAAAGAGCCTTCACACTTGGTTGACTCCTTCATCATCGTGCATCGAACTCACCTCAAACAAGCTGAACGACCTCTGCGTCGCGCTCTCCTTCTGTTCATCACCGGGTTTCTCCTGCTCCGGACGCCTTCGCTTCACAGGTGTTTCCGTCATCCAGAATGGAATGCCAGCGACTCGTGTTACCAGCTCCTGCTCCTCCTGTCCATCTGGCCTGTCACATTCTTCCCCATCTTTCAGGTCCTTCTCTCTCATGTCCACGTCCTCGTCGGTCTCTTGAGCAGCTTCTTCTTGTCTTCCCGGACCTCTCGTATCCTCTTCTCGGCTTTGGCCTCCCCCGCCCTCCTCTCCGCCCCCTCGGATTCGCCTCCTCAAGGGGTATGACGGCGAGTGATGCAAGAACGTGGGACTTCTCCTCCCAACTCCTCCCACCCCCACCATCTCGCACTCGCGCCATGCCGCATGCTTCCATGCCACTGTTAGAGCGCTGAGCTGCATTGCGGCTGCACCCCCGCCCCCGGCTACCCTCTCAAATATAGTCTCAAGGACCCCTCGTCCTTCATTCAAGATTCGTAAAGGATGCGCGTGTAGCGCTGTGTTGGTCGCAAGAGGAGACGAGAGGAGCGAAGCTGAGAGACGTTCACTGCAACGGGAGCAGGCGATTAGATTTACTTCATCGGGAGCAGGCGAGTAACGGGAGCAGGCGATTAGATCTAATCTTACTTCATCGGGAGCAGGCGAGTAACGAAAGCAGGCGATTAGATCTACTCTTACTCCATCGGGGAGCTGGCGAGTATACCAAGATGATTCTCTTGGGCATCATTCAACGTCGGTGAGACACTTGTGTGGATCAGATCGTTTCTGCTCCACCCTCGAAACCTGCTCGGCTCCAGCCCTTGTTGTCCATCGTACTTTTGGATCTCGGCGAGGGTTCCAGAAAGCAATCTTGTGCCCAGCAGCTGTTCTTTGCCCGTGTGAGCGTCGTCGCGCAGGCCTGCCCTTGCGATCCTGACTTGATCCTCAACATGGTCCTCTTGCTGTCGGTTGCACTGAGCAGCCACCAACTGGCTACACTCCAGGTGCCCCTTCATCACGCTCAGCTCCATCGCTTTGAAAAGGACAAGCATGAGAAGACAGCAAGTCAATGGGAGCAGATACCCGTGAAACCGTCAAGATTCTTCGAGTAAAAGGTTGCCACCACGTCCTTTGACCTCTGCGCTATAGCCATTGCTGCCACACCTCCACTATCAGCTGTTGCTTTCATGGGATTCAGAGTAGCATCACCTATTTCGAGGCTACCATGTTGCATGGCATAGTGTGCTGCGGTACATCGGAACCTGTTAGGAATGCCAGCATCCGCTCTGTGATCGAGAAGCTGCTCCACTGTATCTGAGTCGCCCATGTCAGTGGCCAAGTGCAATGCCGAGTTTCCGTCAGCATCTTGAATGTTTGGGTTTGCTCCATGGCGGAGTAGGTAGTGTACAACTTTGATTCGTGTCGCCCCTGTGACATCATGCCCGTGAGGAAGATGAACCATGCTGTTTGCACTGCAAGCCCAATGCAGTGCAGTCATTCCTCTCTCGTCTTGCTCATTTGGGTTTGCAGCCATGTCCAGCAAAACGTGAACCGTCTGACTTCGCCCAGCACAAGCTGCCCAATGCAAGGGAGTGGAGCCATCATTGGCTTTCTTGTGAACCCGTGCATTGATTTCAACTTCGCTGATCAATTCTGTTGGTCTCAACATCAAAAGCCTTGAAACATCCTGGATTGACTGCTTCAGCTGTTCTGTTTGTGTCATGAGGTCTTCGCTCAGTCTGGAGGATGCGTCGTAGCTTCCTCTGCACGACCTCAGATTATCTTCCGCTTGCTCTAGTTGTCGCTGCCGTGATACCAAGTCATTCATCGCAAGTAAAGTGAAATTTTCATTCACCTTTACGACGATCATTTTTCGTAGCTTCTCCCTCTTATCCAACGAGGCATTCCTCTTTCTGGATTCAAGATTGTTTTGAGCCTTGCAACAGAAATGAATTCAGAAAGAAATTCTCAGCTCACAAAAACTCCTTCTTACCTCTTGATACTCCTTGAAAGAAATAGACAGCCTCTCGTTTGACTGCCTCAACTCTTCGCTGTAGGTTTCAAACTTCGCCTTGCTAATAGGCTTCCAATGATTGACGGCCTTCACCTGCAATGACATCAATCGGGAAACTTCCAAAGGCCTCTAAACAAGACCAAGGTTTGGTTTTGTCTGTTTTCCTCGTCGTAAGCAATTCTAGCCTTGTCTGCCATGTGTTCTAGGTTTTTAATTGCAGTCCCTGCTTCAATTTCTGATAAATCATTGTTGAGTTGCTCCGTCTCACTCTGTATCTGCTTGCATTCATCTTCAAATCTCATCAGTTCCAGTTTCTGCTTTTCCAATTTTACATTTAGTGATGAAATACTCTGAACAGATTGATTCAAGGTAGCTTCATCTTGGATCTTCTTCTGATCCTTTTCTTTTCGTATGTTGCATAAGTGTAATTCGATCACTTTCTTGACTGTTTGCCATTTGCTGTAATACGCAGCGAAATGGAGGGGTGTGCTTCCGTCCGATGCCTCCTCTTCTAGAGTACACGGGGCGTAGTTAAGTTGATGGTGATCGCCCAGAACTTCAATGGCTGCGACCTGATCATTCATCGCAGCATAATGACAGGGAGTCAGCTTGTTCTTGTCTCGACAGCTGGCATCGGCCCCTGACCTGAGGATCTGTAGCAATTTCGCGACTTTCCCGGTTGCAGCATGGTAGATAAGTTGTTCTTCGGCTTTGTTCATCATCCCAACATTCACATGGATCAACTCTTCTAAATGCTCTGTCTTTGTTGTCTGTCTCTTTGCCTTGGAAATTCTAGCCAACGCTGCTCGACGTCCAGGGCCCCCCACGCTTGTCTCATTTTCATTCGGGAGTTCTGCTGAGATACGGACTCATCATTACTCAAAGTTAACTTAAAAATACGAAGTCAGTGACTGTGCGCGGCCGCCGGTCCCCGCCGGGCCCCGGAGAGCTCTGGCGCCGGGAGAGTTGACTTAAAAATGATCTTGACTCGTATAAAAAAAAATGGTCAATCATTCAATCTCTCTTTTTTTTGAAAGACTAATTTTTTTTTGATTGACCCACCTACGCCCACTCGCTCCCACACTACCTGCCGGACTGCTGCATGGAACCAGCTCCGATGACCCCACCTAGCAATATGCCTTAGAAAGACCTATGCAAATGACCCGTTCAAGAGTCTGCATCTACACCCCACCCTAGCCCTATTGACCCCTTCAGTTTTTACACGAGGGGGTGTACTGACCGTTGTAGGAGGGACCCCTGAAATGAACCAGATAGCACCGGTACCGAAGCTCGCAACAGCCCATCGAAAAGGCGTAGACAACAGACGTAGTTTGCTCACTACCCCTTGAGTCCATAGGAAACCACCCCCCTTATATCCTGCTGGGTCCTGACATCTTTTTTCCCTGCAGGGAGACATAGCGAATAGACGTAGATCATCATTCATAGCCAGGTCCATCTTGGGACTCTTTGCTACGACTTTGTCCTATGTTGAATATGAATTTCGAAAATAATCTTTTCAAACATAAAAAAAACATCTCAACTTCAAAATGATTCTTTTCGTACAAGACTTCAGTGAAAGGTCGTAGTTTCTGGGGAGGGCCCATGTAATCGAAACGGCAAAGTAACGAGTGGTCAAACATAGGCAGGTGATAGTCTACTAGGACCGAATAGTATGCCCTCGACCTACTCAGGTCAAAAAGGAAACCGTGTTGGTTTTGCTTCATTTCAGAGTGGCTGATAGGGAGGCTATCAAACTTGGCGAGTCAACGATGACCAGAGGGGTGGGTGAATGACCCCGTCAACATCACTTTGACCCCGTCAAATTCAATGAAAGGTAGGGGTGCATTGTCTGTATTCACCTACCCTCTTACACGTCAGGTCTATTCGCCTCTCGTGCGTCACCCAATGCTCTGATCGCTCCCCCAGTAGGAGCATGTAGAATCATGAGCGCTCCCCCTCCTCACTCCCCCCGCGCCAGAAGTCGTAGTTCCCCTCCTCTATAATCAGTCCTCGGCCCTGAGCTTTGCCACAGCAAAGATGAGGTGAGCCTCGTGGCCCGCGCGTGTGTTGGTGCTGATGACTGACGCAGGTTTCTATCGACAAACAAGAGCCTTCTCCCCTACTTTTGCCTGGCCTGCACCATCGCAGGCACAGCAGCTACGATGGTGGACAACCCTGAAGTTGGCATTCCCTGGTTGTACAAGGGTCTCATTACTTGGGCATTCTTCTGGGCATTTCTTGATGCGTATTCCATCGGAGCAAACGACGTTGCTAATGCGTTTGCCAACTCTGTTGCTGCACGCACTATCACCTATCGCCAGGCTTGCTTGCTTGCCTGCATCTTCGAATTGATTGGCTGCGTCGCGCTCGGAAGTGCCGTTACCGATACAATCAAGTCGAAGATCACCAACGTGAGCTACTTCAAGAACGACCCATACGTCCTCGCACTCGGTATGAGCACTGTCAACATCGGGTCTGGTTTGTGGGTCGTTATCGCAACCGTGCTCAGTATGCCTGTTTCCACTACCCACGCTGTGGTAGGAGCGGTACTTGGTATCGGTATTGCCGCATGGGGAACAGGGGGCGTGATCTGGAGTTATGAAGCCAAGGGCTTCCTTCAGATCGTGGCTTCTTGGTTCATCTCTCCATGTGTCTCGGGGGCTTTGTCTGCCATCTTCTACCTCGTGACCAAGTTTGTCATCCTCAAGAACCCTGATGACGTCGCGGCGAGACGTGGCATCGCCCTCCTCCCGTTGTACTTCTTCTTCGTGTTCGGTGTCATTGCCGGGTTTATGTGCATGAAAGGTATCCCCGCCCTCAAGAACACTCCCTACAAGGTCACGGTTCCTGTCACTGTTGCTATCGGCATCTTCTTCGGCCTCATCGGCTATATCTTCTGCGTGCCATGGGCTCGTCGCTTCATTATCGACAATGAGAACCTGCCCTGGTACACCATGTTCTGGCAGTTTACCATCCCCAAAGGAGCTTATGGGTATGTAACTGATCAGACTGCAACCAAAGACATGGAAAGCGCCGTCGAGGGAGATGTTGCAATGCAACAGCAGTACAACGGGCAGGCGTTCGGTGAACCAGCACAGTACGCCATCTCAGGTTCTGCCTTCGGAGAGAGCGAGAAAGGGAAGGGTGCGGAGGAGTCAGTGGGATCGGACAGCAATGACAGCGCTCTTGTTAAGGTTCTCAAATATATCTCTCCTGGAATGTTCATGGACATTGCTGAGCTTAGTGAGGAAGATGCTGATATGCATTCTCGTGCCTTCCAAGCCAACCCCAAGACGGAGGAGCTGTTCAAGATCCTCCAGCTCTCCACCTGCTGCTTCTTCTCGCTGGCTCACGGTGCTAACGACCTTGCGAATGCGGTTGGTCCCTTCGCGACTGTGTGGATGGTGTACAGCACTGGAGTTGTGAACTCCAAGGCCGATGTACCCCTCTGGCTTTTGTTCTATGGAGGTATCGCGCTGGACATCGGTTTGCTTACCATGGGGCATCAGATCATGTCTGCTCTTGGTAATCGTCTCACCCTCCAGTCGCCCTCGCGCGGCTTCAACATCGAGCTTGGTGCTATGTTCACCGTGATGGTGTTCTCGCGCCTCGGCATTCCTGTTTCCACCACTCACTGCATCTCTGGAGCCACCACTGGCGTTGGCTTGTGCAACGGCGACGTCAGGTCTGTCAACTGGAAGCTTCTCGCCGTGATTTTTGGCGGCTGGATCGTCACCTGCCCTGCTGCTGGAATTGTGACTGGTTTGATCTTCTGGGCCATCATCTCTGCACCCAACCCTACCCCTGGAAACGGATTCTTCGAGGGTCACTACCACGGTTAAACATCTTGGATAACTCGTGCTTTGTAATTTTCTTAGTTTGCTATCAAAAAAAACATTTTGACCTACTCAAGTTTGATTCCACCCTTGACAAAGAGCGAGCGATTATGACACGAACAAACCAAGAACCGGAAAGAATCGAAGTCCACTCAGTTCACAATTGCAGCTTGTTCTCCCTTCTTGAAATCTTTTGGTTATGCTGCTCACCTGAGGAACAAGTTCAAATTTGAATGATCAACAGGGATTGAACCGATGACGGCCTGAAGGAAACACTTGATCACTTCTATTCATTTCACTTGGCTCTTTCATTCTCTTCAAGATACCAACAATGAATCCAAGTCCATGCAAACCAAAGGATCTTGGTATACTTAATTGTTTTCTTATTTCCTCTCAGTTTGTGTGGGTGATGTCAGGTTCATGGACCAGGAGACAACTGACAATTGCCAACCTGCCGTTAGCAAGTCAGCCAGGGCTGATTTACTTCGCTTTCACTCACGTCGACTTGTACAGATTGAAGTCTATCTGACTGTAAATGCGATAAAAGTGAAATTGTCTCTAACACTTGTCAGACTTGCTCTGACTTCTTTGTTTCGGACCATACCTCAACCGATTTCACCGAGGGGAAGGGAGAGGGGGAGAAGCGCCGGGTAAGGACGCAGGAGGCAGGTTGTGGCAAAGAGACAGTGAATGAGTGGGTCTGAAAGAGAACAGTGGAAGTGAATAGAGGAGACAGGGAGGAATCATGCATGACGCTACATGGCATAAACTTCCTGAGCTCCCGCTCCGTCACCTGTCGCAAGGAGAGCGTTCTCTCCAGACCGAGCGGGGAAGGGGATCTACACTGGCTGCTCTCGACTTTCCTCCGATCCGTGGGAGCCAGACGGACCGAGCAGCCACGAGGAAGCAGGTGAATGCCGACCAAGCTTCCTCCTTCCTATGACTAGTTCTCCAGCGGGGGGAGGGAGTCTCGAAGCCTGACTTGGAGGAGCATGTTCTCAGCCTGCATCACCGAGCGGTGGGAGTGACGGGAGCGGCTGGTGGAGGCGCCTTGATGCGCATGCAGGTCTCTCTCAACGAGCGAGGCCTGAAGCACGACGCTGAGAGCCTCTACGCGCGCATCCTCAAGTTGGACATGAGGGCCCCGATGAGAATCCTGGTGCTCAACAACCTCGCGCTGCTGCATGAGAGCAGGGGAAACTTGAGAGAGTAGAGCTGCAGCTTGTTGACTGCCCGAGCTCACCTCGTGCTCGACAGATCGGAACGCTTGTACAGGCAGGCGATGACCCTCAGCGTCGACCCCAAGGACTTGTACTGCCGCCGCTGCTGCAAGCGCATGTCAGCCCCGGCAGAGGACGCTGGTGTGGCTCAAGGTGCTGAAGGAGAGGCGGGCTTGCAGTCTGAGCTCTTCCTTCAGTAACATGCAGCACGTGCGGCATCAAACACGCAGCAGCAGCTTCTGCCTGGTGCCGCAACTGCTCCCTCTCGGTGCTCCCTCGTGCGATGTTTCTCAGCTGACTGGCGCCTGGTGAAGCTCTGCAGGGACTGCAGGGAGTGCTGGAAGGTGCCGGGGCTGCTCAAGTCGACGCAGACAGCTCGGAACTACTCCAAGTTGTAAGGGGAGGCAAAGGCAACGAGTTGACGTACTGGATCTACAGGTTCAAGCAGACGCAGCTCGGGCAATATGATGAGGCGAGCGGGGGAGAGGTGAGAGTGAAAAGGAAGTGAGCTGTGATATCAGGCAGAGAAGCTTCTGTTTCTGGCTCTTGCATCGCTGAAGAAGATTGCACGCGAGGACAGTTGCAAGTCCCAGCAGCTCTTGCAAGCAGAAGCATGCATGATTCTGTCGCAGTATGGCGATCTTGTGATGCGACCATTGGCAGCTCTTGCTGTGACATGATAGATTTGATTGCAGTTGTTGGATGCCGTCGAGAGAGAACTGAAAGACAAGTCCACTTCTTCTCCTGCCCTCCTTGACAAGCTGGAAGTTGCAGTGCAGGTAGGGTACGAAGGGTCTGGTTGTCTTTGACGCACGCCAGTACTTGACAGCCTCGCTCAAGCTCAACGAGCATCAAGCTCAGAGCAGGTGAGGCGAGCCTGCCGCTTCTTCTCTGAGTCAGTCGGAGGTTCTTGTTGGGCAAGTGCTACTTCGTGGCGGCTTCCTTGCTCAGCGCAAAGGGAGTCGGCGGCGGCGAGCTGGGCAGCCTGCTGGGAGATGCCAAGGTGAAGGGAAAACAGGCGCAAGCAGCCATGACTGAACTAGCGAGCAAACATCTTCATCTCGCCCTTCGTGAGATGCTTGACCTTGTTTTGCTCGCCTGCTGACTCTCCCTATGGAGAGATCGACTCCAACTTCCTCCCCGCCAGGTTTCAGCTCTCGCTCCTCCTCTCAAAGCTCAACAGGCTGGAGTCCCTCAAGAACCTCAAGACCCTCTTGACTGTCGAGCCCCGGCATGTCCCCAGCCTTCTCGAATTTGGTCGCCTGCTACAGACATGCGGGCAGAGCCTGAAGCGCCTGCGGCCCTTCCGGAGGAGAGAGGCATGGCAGGAGCTGTTCTTCCTTGAGGCGCAGGCCCTGTTCAAGCGAGCGATCAGCATGCAGCCTGACAGTCCAGTGGCGCTGCTGGAGTATTGCATCTCTTGCACTCAGAGCAAGACGAGCGAAGACGAGGTGAGGAGGATCGTGCAGCGGGTGACGGAGCGTAAACCGACGGACGCTGCCATCCTCTGCAACTTGGGCTGCCTGCTGCAGAAGCTTGGAGAGAACAAGAAAGCAGAGGAAGCGCTGCTGCAGGCCATCGCACGAGCACCCAACCACCTGCCGTCCATCTACAACCTAGCTCGGCTGCATCACTACTTCCTCTCCAACCGCCAGCTCGCCCTCCGCTTCTACGACAAGGTACACGTCCGCCGCTTCCTCGTGGTGCCTGAGGGCCTGACAGGTTCTGAGCCTCGAAGAGGAGGAAGGAGACGAGGCGAGTGCGAACATCATGAAGATGACCAGAGATCAGAAGAGATTCATTCGCGTCACTCAGAATTTGAAGTTTATTAACCAGAGAAGTTGAATGTCAACAAAGAAGTTTGAATCGTCCATCCCTCCTCCAGCCCTTGAGCGTCATCCTCATATTCCATCCGTCCTCCCCATCCTTGGTCTCTCTTTCTCCTCCTTCATCCGCCTCTCGCTCCTTCCTCCCTTCACCCACCAGTCTTCTCGGTCGACATCTGCCACCAGTCAAGAACTCCCTGCGCTGACGTCTGCACGGCGCTGACTTGCAGGCTGAGCGACCGATGCCATTCCAAGTTCTTCTTAGCTCGCATCCTCTGAAGCTCCTCGTAGTTAGGAAACGAGATCTCGCTTGTCCCCCTCCAAGTATCTCCTTCCTCCTCCCATGACTCCTTCCTCCCCTTCCCCTTCAGCCACGTGCTGTACCATCCCCAGAACTCGTCCACTGAGATCGCTTCCTCCTTCTTGCACACCAGCAGCAAATCCTGCGCAAACTGCGCGTCCCACGTGTGGCCCAGCAAGTCTCCCACCTCGGGGATCTGGTGCTTGTAGATATGATCGTTGGAGGAGTTTGCGCTGAGGACGCGCTGCCTGATGATCGCCTTCGTCATCTCCAGCTTCTCCATCTCGTCCTGCCTCTCAGCAATTAACGAGGGAGACGAAAGAGACCCCAGCGAGGACGGTCGATCTTGATCCTGCTCCAGGATCTGTCTCCTCTGAGCTTCACCTTCCCCTGCTACTTGCGCGTCCCTCGCTCGTTTGGCATCAGCAATCTTCCTGTTGAGCATGAAGACGAAAGAGAGAAAGTCCTTGTGGTCCAGGAGGCCGTTCTGTCTTCGATCTGCTTCGCGCAGAACGGCTCGGATGTCCGAGGGGGAGAGGAGGAGGCCGAGCGTCTTGAGCGCCTTGGAAAGCTCCTGCTCGTCGATGGTGCCGGAGGCGTCAACATCGATCTTGTAGAAGAACTTGGAGATGATGACAGACGCCTGTTGAGGGTCGTCGATGGGGTGGAAGATGAGCAACTTCACTTCGTTCTTCTGGTTCTCCGTCATGAAGCCCTGTGACTCCTGCTCTTCGTCACCACTGTCATCTTTCACCCATCTGAGAGCCTTGGTCCTGTCATCGTACTGCATCTTCCATCCTTGATCAGGCGATACCAGCTTCAAGCGGTTCAGCTGGGAAGTGGCCAGGGGGTCGAACAGGCGAAGCTCCTCCGTCCTTCCTCGCAGCATCATCTGCTCCATCCTGCTGAACTGCTTAGGATGCTCTGGGAACACGCGGAGCTCGAGCTCTTCCTTTGGTAATCTGCCCCTGTTGCTCGCGTGTCCCCACCCGTCCACTCCTTCCCCTAACGCGACTGTGCACACGTTGCCGTTGATCGTTGCCCTGCTCTCGGGCTCCTTCAGGGTCGCAAGATTTTTGCCTTTAGCCATTCTATGGCCGCGGAGCTTGTCTCGTGCTAGCCGAGCTTCTGCCATGCGGAAACGCTTGCTGAGCCTGTATCGCCTGAAGTCAAACATCACGTTCAAGTTGGTCAGCGGATTCTCAGCGTCTCTCGATCTCTGAGTCGACTGCTTGGCGACATGATAAGTGAAGAGTAGAGTGACAGGAAGTGTAATGGAGAGGACAAAGCAAGCGATCCAGACGCTCTCGAGGCTGTTCCTCGCTCCCTCACAGAGGTTCTTGTACCACTTGTTGTAGACTAAAGTCAAGCTCTCACAGGAGCCCATGGTCATCATCTCGCTGATAGTCTTTTGAATGTCTTCATTGTTCGCCAGTGCCATCTTGTCAAATTGGTACCGCTGCTGGCTAGCTGAGAGCTTGACGCTGTCCAACGAGCTTCTGAGCGACTGAACGTCTTGCTGCATGCTTGAAATCTGCTGCTGAAGCAAGTCAAGATACAGCTTGAACGCTTGTCCTCGCGTGGAGCTGGGGTCGTATCTAGAGGAGTACCCAAACTCATCTCCTGTCGCCTGCATGTCCATGACGGTCTGCAGCTCGGGCTCGATGACCCTCAGGTAGTCGGCAATCATGAGAGTGCTCAGCACATCATCACTGACGCGGCTGTAGAGCTGCAGGGGCGACAAGCTCCGTTGCATCCCCAAGATGTTCATCTTCTGCAAGCTCCACATGTCGCCGGATGGTCGGAGAGCGCAATCAGAGATGGTATTTCGCAGGTTGTTGTCAACCAGTTGGAGAGTCAGGAAGAAAACAGAGGAAGAGTTGGTGGAGGCGGGGGGAGGGAGCAGCAAGCGACACATGTCTTCTTGAGGAACAACGAACACAGAAGTTATCCCCCATAACACCCAACTGAACAACGATGCGAGAAGGATCAAAACCTTGCCCAAAGTCCAGAGAGCTTGCAAGCCCAGAAGGAGGGAAAGATATAGACACGCAATCGTTAAAAAGACGAACCCCCAGAAGGCATAGGCGATCACTCTTCGCAAAGTACGGGAGTTTGCCTCGGAACTGAAAATATGTTGCGTCTGCTGATAAAACTCTATGCTCCAGGTCGAGATGAGCTTGAGCTGGTTGAAGAGCAAGTCTGACAGTTGTGCAATGGCACTATTGCATTCATCGCTTGTATAAAAGTGAAAGCTGTTGCTGCTCTTGCTGGGCTGGATGGAAAACGAAGATAAGACCTTGTCAATGCTCTGGATCACGGCTTCGCATGAGCGGCAGCATGGACACAGTCTATTGCTGTTATCGTCATTCTTGCAGGCAGGATTTGGGATGAAGGCGTTGGTATTTTCAAGTATGGTCCCATTCCCAATCTTCCTCACGGTAAGGGAGCCATTTGTTTGATTGACCGTGAGAGGACAAAGGTTCCTAAAGTCCCACAGGGTCTCGTTTGACATGATACACTGATCTGCTGCAACAGATTCTTTGCAGCCCTCGACCAGAAGCGCAAACCTCTTCATCTTGGAGCGGAGGCCGAGGACCAACGTGCTGGTCCGATTCCAGTCTCCGTCAAGGTACCCGCGCATCAGCTCCAGAGTCTTGTTTCTGCTCGTCAGGTCTGCAGCGAAGCTCTGCTTCAATCGCTCTGTCTGGCTGCTCACCTCCCTCAACCTCTGCAAGGGGTAATCCAAGACCTGCCGTCTGCTTGAGGTCAGCTCGACCAGGCTGAAGTCCAGCTGAGAGCTGCTGGATATCCCGATGATGCTGATGCAGGATGCAAACACCAGCAGGCAGACGTACAAGACACTCGAGCAGATTTGCCACCTCGGGCTGTAGACCACCAGAGGGACTCTGGTGAACAAGTCAAGGCAGCCGACCTGCATGTGGCCCTCGGAGAAGCAGAAGAGCGGTAGGAGAGAGAGGTTTCTGCTGCAAGCAAACAAGGCCGATGCCATGAGCAGCAGAACCCCTGGAACGATTACGATCCCCCACATCGCGCACCAGAGAGCAACATCCATGTATTGACATTGCGCCTCTTCATAGTTTGACCGGAGGGGACTTGAGAAGCACTTGCCAAGCTTGCTACTCATGGTTGGGGAGAACAGATACCGAAAGAAAGTGATGGGCGCTCCTGAGAACTCATTCTTTCCCATTTTAACGATTTGAAACGTGTCTGTCGAGTTGATAGACGGCAGGCCAGCATTCGAGAAGGCTGTTTGAAAGTTCTTCAACATCAATCGACTCGGGAATGAACTCGAATGGTTTGTCCGGACTTGAAGATCGATCTTCACTTTGTCCAGACTGCTGGATGAGGCAGCGCTTACGGTGATTTCTTCGGCTTTGACTTTCAACAGACCTGATAAAGCTACGACGTACTTGGCTTTCTGTTGTTCAAAGTCTCGCCCCTGCATCCTCAAGTAGAACTCAACTTGCGCGTAATGTCCCACGTACTGAACTGTAAAATTCCCATCATATGATAGATGAGGCAGGTGATAAATCATCGACCGGCTGAACCACTTTGACACATGCCTGTATGCAGATTGGTCTGCGCTTCTCTTGTCAAACATTCCCATCCCCCAAAACAAGAGGATGAAATTCAAACATAGGAGGAAGAAGAGGAGGAGGGAAGGCAGAAGCTGAGAGCAATGAGCCGAATCCTGCATCTGACTTGAGTTCTTGGTCTGTGCATCAGAGGCATCAAGCAACTCTGCATCGCCATCCGACAATTCGTTGTGAAACATTCTTACCGTTATGACCCGGCGATGCTCCCTCCTATGTCCTTCCGATAAGTTCCGCTGCTTTCTCCCCTCTGAGTCTCCTCCCCTTCTCCCTTCACCTTGCCTCTTGGCTCATACGATGCCCTGGCAGCCGGTGATCCCGGCCGTTCTTCGGCATGTCCCCGACTGCTCGCTGTTGACTCACCGGGTCTTACCAGGATTACTATCATCCTACACTTCCTAGCACCTTACAGCATCGAGACCCTCATCCCCGCTCACTTGACTGAAGACATTCCTCTATACCCCTCGTCCCCGCTCATACCGCTTGTCCCTTCGCCTTCATATTGTGTACCCCCACCCCTGGGGAAACACTCCTGCCACCATATCATTCTCAAGTTCTCATGTACCCCTACCCCCTTCAAATGCTCCAGAGCAAAGGTCTGTCTTATGTTCGAGTCCAATGATTAGTATTATTCGATCATTCTTATGACAAATTTCAATATACCTTTGTTCTCTTGTAGTTGGCGTCCGTCACCCACCCATTGCAAATATAGTACCTACACCCCCACCCCCATGTTTGGAGGTACCCCAAGGTCCTACCCCTGTCGTTGGTAAGTCGGAGAAGGAGGAGGCGGCATGCGGCTGATCGCGCTCTTCGACCACAACAACTCGGCATGGGTGAACTACCAGAGCAACGGGACTCCCGTCTGCCCCTCACACAATGGCTGCTGCTACAACCCCGGCGAGGATGCTGACGGCAATGCCACGGTACGACTTGAGGAGGTGGAGAAAAGGTGGTAGAGCGAGTTCGGGATAGAAGCTGTGACAGCAGAATGACGAGTAGAGGAGTAGTGCAACGGTACCAGAATGATAGTTGGAAAGGGTACAACGCAGAAACAAAAGGTGAAGCACAGAAAGAAGAGTGCTCAGGTTTTCAGCGTCAAGGTTGTATTTATCCGTTGGCGCTTTCATAGAGTTGTTTGTCGTTGATCTCAAGGGAGATGGTTGAATGGTTCACAGATGGTGACACTTGGTTTTGCAGCCATGGTGCGAATGTGTAGACAAGGCTTGTGATCGGGATATCGTTCCAGTTCAATTTCTTTAGATGACGAACTTCGTAACAGTGGATCATTGCGCTTGTTTTCTCACATTGTGCAAATTGTCAGTGTGACATTAAAGGTGCATAGTCCTTTGTGACATCCGATGTGATCGAAAAAACGAGATGGACATCGTTTTCTCTGGCGTCTTTCTGACTCCTAACAAGTTTTGGCATGTGCCATTGACTGGAGCACTCTTCAGCTGGTTATTCATTAACTTCTTGTCAATCTGGTTTGAATGTACAGTAACTTAGAAGAATAGAGCTCCATGCGGAGTCAACGAGATCAACATCCTTGCAATGGACAGGGTGAAGTTTTCTTCAAATCTCTCAGTGGCTGGTTGAATCGTCCTCGTCGCCGTTCTGCATCAGCAACGTCACTGACGAACAGTGATGAGTACGTTTGGAGGGGCAACTAACCCTGGAAGCGTTCACTCACTCAGTATGCACGACTTTAGTGTTTGACTGCTGCGGCTGAAAGAAAACAGTGAGAGAGTTCATCGAATCAGGACATGAAATATGTTTACAGGGGTTGCTTCATCGACAGGCTTCTGAACAGCCTGCAGCGCATCTTCTGCTATTGCATACATCAGCAAGCAACGAGCAGGACATCCTCACACTCATCCTCTCTCACTTGCAGCAGCCGCTTGCACCAGATGTTCCATGCGGCGACCATCTACCTCCGGGGAAGACGTAGCTGTTGAACCTGCTGAAAGACAGTCAAGAGCTTCAAAAACAGCCGGCAGCAGCCTACCGAGCTGAGAGGCGTAGGAATGAGCTCCTTTGCCGATGGCTGCAGCCGCCGATCCGAATTCCACGACAAGTGCCGCATAGCTCTTAGCAGTCCTGACCTCTGAACTCCTGCTGTTCTTGTCTGCTTCACTCCCCGCACACTGATCGGAATGATTGGCCTTCGACCGTCCTCCTTTCGCCTTCGCATGCTTGCCTGCAAGTCACGTGAGCATGTTGATCTGGGCTAGAGCACTGTGCTGTGAAGTACTTACCTTCGGTTGTCATCACTTCACATGCGTCGCCATCCTTTTGAGTCTCGTCGAGAGCGTTCTGAGAGCAATCCACAGTAGCCGCGTCTTCCGAGGTTCCGTCGGAGTTATTTACATGGACAGCACTGGCACTGTTAGCGCCTTCTACCGCATCCTTCGATTTCTGTTCTTGCTCAATACCTGAGCCACTCGTCTCTGCGTTGGGGCATTCCAGCTCACTGTCCAATCGACTCTTAAGATGTTCACCACCAGATGTAGTCGACGTGTTTTGATTGAGCAACGCGTCTCCATAGCTTACTCGCCCTTGTGACTTCATGTTCCCATTCCCCTCCAGACCGCCCGTCAGCGCTTGTGACCAGTTCATGCCGATGATCACGGCTTTGGCATTTTCTGGTCGAGGAGCCTCAGAGGAATCCAACTCATCCGTGCTTGCATCACTAGCTGGCCTCCTTCCCCTCCCACGCAACTTCGTATCGATTCTCTTGCTTGAGTCATGTGCGGAGAAAAATTGCACCTGATCCGATACTCCTGATGCAACTGCATCACTCGTAGCCCCTACCGAGCAGTTTGCCAACAGGACTTCGGCCGAGGACCGTCCTTTCTCGTTCCGTGGCTGTCTCCTGCGATCCAGCCAAGTCGAGTCTTGGTTATTTTGATACTTTGCGTGGGACTCACGAGCCTTTCGCAGCGCCTGCTCTCTCTCCCCCATGTCAGTTGGCACCAGGAGGTCGACATATTCAGTCTTCCGGGTATTCCCGGGAGGAGTTGCAATGCCGCAGTATCGACGCAGAGCTTGAGTGATGGCGTGCACCTTCACTCTAGAGCCAAGCGTCGCCTTGAACAACTCATCATTGATTTCAGACCAAAACTTGCACGTGGCATCAGCATTTTTCTCTTTGAGCAGCAAGGAGCCGTCTGGACGTTTTTCGATCTTCCCTTGCTTGATTTTTTCTTGTACATATCTTTGCACTGCAGATCTCTGACCCTCAGAACCATGAATCTGGTGCCATTTCTGCGCTGCTGTTGGCGCAAGAAATGATCTTCCTTCGTTCTTGTGATTATCTGAAGCTTCGAATCGCAAGGAGTTAGTTGAGGCATCCGTAAAGTCTTGCTGTCCTTCAGCCTTGCCGGGAGCATTCACGGCCTCTTGTCCCGCATTCATTTGATCATCTGAGCTCAAATTTGCTGACATCATTTCGTTCACGTTCCTATCCTCCTCTTGCTGTGACAGCATTCCAGACTCTGACTTCCCATCTCTCTGAACAAGGTCGGCAGGATTCATTGGCACGTCACTTTTCTCGCTCAAGCTACCGACATTCTCGCTGGGCTCTGGGTATTTTGAGCCTATCAGGACTGACAAGGCGGTAGGGCGTGGCTCTGTAGAAGTTGAATGCAAATTATCCTTCGAGGTACGCATTTCAGTTGCAGCTGCTTCATCACTTGAGTTCTTGTAGTGTTTTTCACGATTTTGCTGTCTCCTCTTGCGAGGGCGATCTTTCGTGGCCCCGTCACTGTTGCTATCCACTGGCAAGGATTTTCTGATTATTTCTGAGTAGCCCATCGATGCTTGATTTGCCGTTATGGCTTCAATCGCCTTCTCTGATGCTGGGACACCAACGGCAGGAGAAGCCTCAAGGGTCTTCAAGTATGAGCCTTCATTGCCAGACTGGCCTGCGCTTGATGGTGCTGGAGAATTTTCGATCGAGTTCATTTCATCTTCTCGGCTGTTCTTCCCCTTCGCCAAGACGTTGGACGATGCGTCCTTCGAAGAGCTCGAGGAATTCATCATCAAGACGACTGCTGCACTTAACCTGGGAGCACTCTCTTCAGGAATTCTAGAGCCCATCAGGACTTCGGATGCCTTCCACGGGGTATTCATTTCGCCTGTGCCTGCTTCACCTACAGGAAGATCCTCCACCTCTCCGGCTCCTCCTGTATTTCCCTGTTCTTGTTCGCTCCCAGCAGTCTTCGGGTTCAATTCCTTTGTCTCCTTTTCTTTCTCTTCAGCTTCTGCTACAGACTTTGCCCCTGAGGCTGGTTTTTTCAAAGAGTCATCTGAGTCGCCTTTCATGCCAGAACTTGAGTCTGCTAGCACCTGCGACTTGCCCTTTGACTTTGCTTTAGCTTTCATCTTCGGATCTTTTGAAACACTGACGGATTCCAGCAACTGCTCACTTTCTTTCGTCCTCGAGCTTCTCGTCGAGGCAGCGCTCGCCTTTGCAAGGTTGGCCTTCTTGACGCCGTTATCCTTCTCCTTCGGATTGGATTTCGAATTTTCTACCATCGACAGCCTAGTGGACATTCCTGATGTTCTAGGTGTTGTCGAAGTTGAAGATGACTTCTTTCCATTCTTTGCAGTGTCGGAGCTGAGCCCTAGGAGAGCGGATGCCCCATCAAGAAGCTCGATGTCGTCTGAATGCTTCTTCTTGCCTTTCTTCTTCGTTGTTTGCACCTTGTTCTTGTTCTGACTTTTAGATCTCAGGTTGATATGATGCTCGACAAGAGGCTGACTGCTTTCCCTCTTTCGTTTGGGCACATTCCTCTCATCCTGATGACCATCTTGGGTGCTACTGTTCCTAGTTCGCAACTTTGGGGATGCTGAATCTGTTCTTGATCGTTTGCTTCCTCGAGACACAGATGGAGAACGAGAGCTATCCTTGACATTTCTAGAAGACTGACTTCGAGATACCTGCAGCAACATGTTAACATCTACATGCCTGAGGAACATTAGAGCTACGCGGTCTTCGCTGGTCCCCCGCAATCTCTCCTTCCCCTTGGACTTGGATGAGACGTGATCTCCCTAAGCCATGTCATACGAGTACAGATCGCAATTGAATCACTTGATCAGCTGTGTCGTCTTCGGATGCTTGCAAGTCTGCTATCCAAACTTGAATTTCTTGCTTAGTTCGATGTCTGAATCGAAAACATGTAAACGAACAGATTCAGTTCAAAGACAACACTTACGGAAGGTGATTTTCAATGATTCTTTCAATAGCTGCTTTGCCGAAGCATGAAAGACCGCTTACAAGCGCATCCATCTCCCGGTTTGTCGCATCTGGTCGGTTGCCAGTTTGGGACCCGTGGGGATCAACGACGCCAGTCCAATCGTAGTGGACCCCACAAGCAGTGCAGGTTGTGCATAAATTCAAATTCTTGTCTGCCCTCAACCCTTGTCGACTTTTTCTCGAATCTTTACAAGCCTGCGGCGAGTCCACACCTTGTTCGTTTCTGGCTTCATCTTCCAAGAGCCCGAGCTTTCGTTTCACCATCCTCTCAATCCAGCGATGATATCAGTAAACAAACTGTGCTAAGCTCTCAACATCCACGGCACTCCTGCCGCTGTCCTTACATGTCAGCTGTCATCGCCCTGCCCCCCGTTTCCTTCTCTTCTTTCTCGTTCTCCTCCTCCGCGTTCCCTCCCATGCATGGCGCCGCTGCCCGTTTCTTTTCCTTTTTCTTTGTTTTTTTCTCTTTTTCTTGTTCTTTTTTTTGCACAAAAAAAAAGATGCCCGGACCGACCACCTATGGAATCACCCCCTACCCCTCAAGGATGATTCTGATCTCTCCCCTTACCCACCCTACCCTACCGTGACCTATCTACTACCCACCTTCTCTCTCACCATCTCATCTTGGCAAGCACCCCTACTTGCATACTGTACCCTCAATTTTTCACCTCCACCCCTGACATTCGATGGGGGTCCAACAGTACTCAAATGCTTCATACAAACCCCTTGTACCCATACAATTTGTATACTGTGGTGGGGTAGCGGAAGGAGTTTCATTCAAATGGGTGGGTGCCTGGCTTGTAGCAGGTGGGGGTGCATGACCATGTGAGAATTCACAGGCTTATCCCATAATAAAGCAGGGGTAGTAGAGAATGTGGAATAGTCATATAGGTAGGGTGATAAAAGAGTTAGTAAGAATGAGGGTGGGTAGGCTGACCAAGGGAAGGCAACGACCCAAGTTGACTGAAACTGTAGTTACGGTCTTTTAAAAGTAGATGGTAGTGTCAAAGCAGCAATTGTACAATTATTACTTTGTAAGGGGCTCCTCGACCTTGCCAGGTTCAAATTAAAAATCACTTATATAGGTTTTGTTTTTTAAATTTTGAATAGAGATTCGCCTGTCTACTGATTTTTAACTTAACTTTGAGTAAACATATCTTCATGGCGGCACTGGCCTGCCGCACGGTGACTGCGGCGCCGGCGGCCGAGCGACGCCGGGCCCACCGTGACCGTGCGACGCCGGGTGCCACGCAGAGAGTGTGAGTGTGATACTTTGAGTAAAGAAAGTGTTCTTTTGGGGATAAAAGTTGGCGTTGAACCCTGCGGCGTGTTCCACTGAAGTTGCGACTCTGGCCGGGCCCGCGGTGCCATGGTGGGGCGGCAGCGCCGCCGGGGCCGCTAGTCACTGAGTATCCGCCGACACATACTAGTTCATCCACGCCGGGTGACGGGCCCACCCCTAGAAAGGGAGCTAACGGTTACATTTTCGTTACATCAAAGTCAAGCGCCTTCGAGAAGGACCGCAATGATCACCCCTGTAAAACAAATACAAAGAAGGGGTAGTCTTTTAATTTTTCAGGAAGCATTGAGGGTAGGGTGCTTGGAGTGAGGATCGGAGGGTAGGTAGGGGTGGACATAGAAGCGCGGCGATGAAGGCTTTGCTAGTATTGGCTGTGGCGTTGGGGATGGGCGGGAGATGCGAAGGATTCAGAATGTTAGGTGGAATGGTAACAGGAGGTATAGAACAAACTCTTGTGTTGTTTTCCTCCCTGTCGCTCCTCCTCTTATGCTTACAAGACTCCTCGTATATCTGCCCTGTTCTGATCCCCGCTGCCAATCTTTCGACACGAGTGCTTGCGTTGTCAACTTGACCGGCGCGTTTCCTCGATATTTTGCTCTGCAACCAGAATGCTGATGAAAAGCTCTTGTCTTTTTTTGCTTGTCGCAATTGCAATCCTCCTGTAAAACCAAATAACATATGTTGTGTGTCAATCATCCAACAATTATTGTTTGTGTAGAAATTTCTGAAGCTGAAGATAAATTTGTAGGGGCATTCCATTCTTCAAACAAACTATCAAGATCTGTGTCGTGCGCAACTCGCGCTTCATCATCAATCGCAGGCTTCCGTCTTCGTGGAGGTTCTGAAACATTAACCATGTCTACATCGACTGTATCGGAGAAGACCATCTTCAAACAGGTGATGCTGCTTCATATCTAGTGACGCTACTTCATCTCTGCGCATAGTTAAATTCTGACGTCTCTCACAGGCAGGATACAGAAGGCCCTTGCACTGGGTTTTCAAAATCGGCTCACTTGAAAAATCCCTTGAGTTCTACCAGAACGTTTTTGGGATGCATGTTCACAGGCATGAAGAATTTGCTTCGGGTTGTGAAGCCACCTGCAATGGGCCATATGGTGGCGCTTGGTCCAAGACCATGATCGGCTATAAGACCGAAGAGAGCAACTTTGCTTTGGAACTTACCTACAACTATGGGATCGACTCGTACATGAGCGGAAATGACCTTCGCTATATCGCCTTGAGGGCTTCAGCATTGAAATCCGATCCTTCAAAGTTGGGTTACAAGACCGAAACGGATCCTAGTACGGGAAACAAGATTGTAACTGGGCCAGATGGCTACAAGTTCATGGTTGTCGACACTTCTGAAGGAAATAAGGATGAACCGTTCCTCTTCGTGAGCATCAATGTACAAAACCTGGACAAGGCGCTGAACTTTCATACTAAAGTGTTGGGTGCACAAGTGTTCCAAAGCACGCCGGGAGCCTTGGGCTCGGCTAAGAGTGCTGTCATCGGGTTCTCGGATAAGGGAACCAGGTTGGAGCTGGTGGAGCTTCCAAATCAACAATCTGTCGATCATGCGCTGGCTGCGGGAAGGTTTGCGACAGAGACAGAAGATGGAGCGCCATCTTACATGGGAGAGAAAGTCAAATCAGCTGGTGGAAAAATCTTGCATGGACCAATCAAGCTCCAGCCTCACAACGAGGAAGTTGTTATTGTTGAGGATGTAGACGGCTATGAATATTGCTTCGTGGATGCGCGTGGGTAAGTTCGAAAGTCAAATATCTTTCACGGCGCGTACAAATAATTATTCGTATTTCAAGGTATACCAATTGTGTGAATGTGGCATATGCCGAAGGGGGTCGAGAGGTCGATTGGGATTTTCGCAACCGCCTTGAAACAGCATCTCGATCTACAAAGAATGCAAAGCTCGAAGTAAGTATTTGTTGGCGTCCCACGCAATCACGATGAATCTACTAATACGTACATTACTTGGTGCAGGTAGCTAAAGTTCTGGCTAGAAACTACAACAAAGCAGAGGTCAAGACCAAAGTGGAAGACAAGGTGATGGTGCTTAGAAAGCTTTTCCCTGTCTGATCTGTTGCAGATCAAGGACAACGGAGCAGTAGTGTTCAGTCAAACTTCCTGCCCATTCTGTGCTAAAGCCAAGAAGACCTTGTCAGACCTCGGCGCCAAGTATGAGGTCGTTTGAACATGAACATAGTTCTTTGGCCTTGGTTGAATTCGCATATGCAGGTTGTCGAACTAGATAAATTAGGTGACGAGGGATATGCCTGGCGCGTTGAGCTAGCAGAAATAACTCAGAGTGGCACTGTTCCGCAGGTTACACTAGGAGCTTGGTGATGTTTTTGTAATGACAACGGAACCAGGTCTTCATAGGAGGAAAGTTTGTTGGAGGATTCTCTGACGGTGTCGAGGAACTTGTTAAGGAGGGCAAGTGAGTCACTTGTTCACAGTCACGATGGTCTACACTGAAGTTTTACTGTTCTCAGGTTGAAGCCCATGCTTGAGCAGGCTGGGGCAATGTAATGCAACCTCACAAACGATGACACAATGAAATATAGAGAATGACAGGCTTTCTTCAATCTTGAAAGAAATTAGCCCTACTCTAAACGCCGCTAGCAAGAGGACGAGACCTATAGTTCACCTGCTGGTCCTCATTCATCGATAAGCACTTCCAACAACGTCCTGTAACTCCGTGATCCGACGGGGGACGTTGGTCAGATTGTCGACACCGTCCTGTGTTATGACGATGTTGTCTTCGAGACGAATACCCCCAAAGTCCATGTACTTCTCTACCTCGTCCGAGACGATATGGCTGCAGCTAGACATCAGCCCTTGCCGACAAACGTCAAAATCGACCCACCGAGACTTGATGGGATCGTTCAAAGCCTTCTCAAGTTCCGACCGGATGAAGTAACAGCCAGGCTCCACTGTCAACACCATGCCAGGCTGTAACCGCCGGACGTTGCGCAGCGATCGCAGTCCAGGGCGCGATGCTCGAAGAGAACCTGGAGGATACCCGCCGACGTCATGCGTTTCCAGACCTTGACACGAAGTTTCTCAGTAAGGAAGGAACCATCGCGACCGCGTACAACTTCACCGAGGTTGTGTCCGAGACCGTGAGGCATGAACACAGCTGGGATCTCCGCCTTGACAATATCCTCCAAGTCTCCCTGCAGACTCATTATTACCTTGGCTACATGTAACGAAAAGAACCTTTAGGACTCCAATCTCTAAAAGATGCTTCGCAATGATGCGCTCTGTCAGCTCGTGCATTTCCACCCATGACACGCCTTTTTAAAATTTCATTTTTTCTGGATGGCCCTGTGCTCATTGAACCTGGCTTAGCTCGTGCGACAACAGAATCCTTAGCATCAAGCACGGCTTCATAAATCTGTTCATGGTGAGGAGAGACTATAGGCAATTAAAGCCCACCTTTTGCTGTTCTTTGGTGAACTTTCCAGACACCGGGAACGAGCATGTGATATCGGAAGCATAGCAGTAGTATTCTGCTCCAAGATCATTCAAAACAACCTGATGAAGCTCGTCAGAGTAAGGCATATCTCTACATCAAAAATTCTTACGTCTCCCTCTTCCAATCGCCTATTATTCGGAGCTCCTGCATGACCATAGTGAAGGATGGCAGCATTTTTCCCCGAGGCGCAGATTCCAGTGTAGGCAAGGTTCCTCATTCCTCCATGGAAATAGCAATGATGCTGCAAAAAGAGAATCAGCGATGTCGCGCGCCGTGCAAGCGACTCACTTGAAATATCGATTCCAGCTGATATTCGTACATTCCAGGCTTGCAGTGCTTCATGACTTCAATGTGCGCCAGACTCGAAATCTTATTAGCATATTTGATGACTTCTATTTCAGTCTCAAGAAGAAAGAGTCTCAGGTTCTTTGTGCAGCAAGCAAACGAGACTCTCACCTCAGTCTTGAACACACGAGATTCATACAGAGCGTGATGTAACTTCTTGTCATCCTTCGGGAACCTGTCTAACGAGTATGCGACATCAGAACCAATACGATTCTTAGAAGCAGTCTAGCCACCTATCCCCTCAAAGTTTGCAGGCTTCCCTTCATTTCCTGAATCAGAGTTCTGCCCCCCGTACGTATAGATCGTCGATGGTCTTGCAGACGAGACGTGGTCGGGAAGTTCGGAGGTATACAACACCTCGTCTACACAGTAGATACTTTTCAGGTCCTCGAGTGAAGGTGGTGATCCCATCCAAACAGAGTAAGATTCAGGTTGTCGTGGAACAAATAAACTGCTCCTGCCAGAAGATATGTCGATTGTTCCGAAGCAATCTGGGAACCCAACGCCAAAGAGATAATGGAAGTTGCTTTCTTGCCTGAAGAGTAAAGTGTGGTCTGTATCAGCTCGATTGATATCTCTTCCTCCCTCCAAAACAATGATTCCTTCATTTGCTCCTTGCTTCTTCATGTGCTCCAGCACTTTCCTTCGGTTCTGAGTATGAAGCGTCCTCGAGATCTTCATGGTGTCGCCTCCTTGCCAGTAGAAGCCTTCTAGCTCTGTCTGTGCGATGGACTTGTCCATTCCTCGCTCTCCCGAACATTTCACTGAAGAGAAAGATCGACATGCTCTCGGAAGCTTCCACAGACGAGGTGAAGCCGTTGTCTGAAGGTGGAACGCCGTTCCAGCAGTGGACAAGAAACCGCAATTCCATGCCATCATCCCGATCAGCTGACTCCTCCCAGCCCAACAGCACAGCCTTGCTCTACTTCCAGGAGCAGGAAGTTTACCTTGCCGTGTTCTCGCCATCTCCTTTTGCACCGCAGCCCTTCCCCTCGCCCCCAGACATTGCAAAGTCGGCATTAACACCGTCGCGGGCAGAAAATGCACCGGTAGTCATCTCATGAAATAGCCAGGGTGGGTAGGATCAACAAGCCCGCCATCGGAGGCAGAGAAAAAAGGGAGGTGTGATATACAATTTGAAGTGTAGGGTTATCGGACCTCCTTCGGGAGTCATCCGTTAAAATTGGAACGATACAGAGAAGATTAGCATGGCCCCTGCGCAAGGATGACACGCAAAAATCGAGAACGGTATCGACTTTTTTTACATGTCCGAGCGAGAGTCACACAAACAGTGAGCGGCAACGGAGATGACGGTGATCTGAGAAGTTCTTGATCCATACAGGCACATTGAATTAGATGATTCGAGGATGAGAAGAATCTCGAAAGACTTCAGTTAGTTGGTAAGTGAAGAAGAAGGCGCGGAAATGGACAACTGGCGAGTTTTTTAAATCTTCAATGCACGAGACATTCCTGCAAATCAGTCCTCAGGGCCCTTGATCTCTTGTCTTTCCGCTTTATTCTTTCCTAAACCCTCTCAAACACCAACATTTCTGTAATTTTTAATTCATCCTCCCTCCCTTGTGCTCCCTCCCTCCCTCCCTCCCTCCCTCCCTCCCTCCCTCCCTCCCTCCCTTGCTCCCTTGCTCCCTCGCTCCCTCCCTCGCT